TGAAGAGCAGGTGCAGGATGAAGAGCAGGTGCATGAAGAAGAGCAGGGGCTGAGAGGAGGAAGGTTTTCCGACAGCTGTCACCGCATATGCACTTGATGCATATGCAATAATAGTAGAATGATGGTATAGTGTGGGCTTCATACTGCAACCATGGGAAGACTAGATAGTTATAAGCGTATGAAACAGGAATAAGTAATAGGTGTAGCATGTAGCGAAGTTACTGTTAGGGAGGGGTGTAGAAGGGGGGAAATGGGATAGGAGCGGTTGGGAGTAGGAAGGAGAAGGCATCGAAGGGCGAAATGTGAAACCTGGTAATCCCAACCCCGAGCTGCACATTTGGAAATGTGCAGCTCGGGGTTGGGTAAGGTCTCTCACTGCCAACCCCTCCATGCTTTCTCGCTGTAATTCTCTCGAACTAGTGAAAGTTGTTGTCTCACGCTCTAGCACACTGTAGCACGGCACTAAGAGGGAACCTACAGGGTGAGGGACATAGCTCTTTCATGTAGGTAAGTGAGGCTAGGCAACAAGGAGAAGGAAGAAACACAAGAAACAGCATGAGAAGAACAGGTGCAGGGAGAAGAGCAGGTGCAGGATGAAGAGCAGGTGCATGAAGAAGAGCAGGGGCTGAGAGGAGGAAGGTTCTCCGACAAGGGCTGCCTTGCGCTTGTCCACGACACCTCTGCGGACAAGCTCTCGGCTCGTGCCATCCCCTGTGGTTTCCAGGTGGACTCTCCCGACTACGCCTTTTACCACCCGCCCCTCCACCAGTTCCTCGACTCCTACCACGACCGGTTTGACGAGTCTGTATCCTACTACGCTCGCTACCCCTGTCAAGGTCTCCCGGCTCCCCCCCCCTCCCCTTTTCCTCGCACCCTCTCCTCCTCCTGCTCCCGCTCCTTCAGTACCCCCGCCCCCCCCCCTGGTCGTGCCTCATCAGGTGTGTCTCACGCTACCCCTCTACCCTCGGTCGCGCGTCAGGTAGCGTCTCCCTCCCCGCAGTCCTCCTCACAGTCCCCTCAGCAGCCTTCGGTACTTCCGCGACAGGTTACTATGGACTCAGGGGGTGCTGGAGCTGGAGGTGCTGGCACTGGAGGTGCTAGTTCGGGGGGTGCTGGAGCTGGAGGTGCTGGCACTAGTGGTACTAGTTCTGGGGGTGCTGGAGCTGGAGGTGCTGGCGCTAGAGGTGCTGGCGCTGGAGGTGCTAGCTCTGGGGGTGCTGGAGCAGGAGGTACTGGCACTGGAGGTGCTAGTTCCGAGGAGACTGGAGCTGGAGGCACTACTACTGCGCCTCCCCACCGCCACGACACACGTCTCCAGGCGGCTTGCCGACATGAGCATGAGGAGCAGGAGTGGTTGGAGTAGGAGAGGAAGGTGCTGCGGCAGTTGGACCTGCAGGAGCAGCAGGAGCAGTAGCAGCAGCGGCAGCGGCAGCTGCAGCAGCGTTCGCCGCAGCCGCCACTTTTGCAGCAGGTGATCCCACCAGTGAGTGGCCTTCGGGCCCTTGGTCTTCCCCCCTCTCCTCCTATCCACTCATAATCTCCTACCGCGTACGGCCCTACGTTTCCTCCTCCAGACCCGGCTCCGGCTGTTTTCTCTCCTCCTTAGTCACAGTCGCCTCCTCCTGTTCTCCCGCACGACTGAACCACTCGTTGTCCTCCGCGTGCTCGTCTGTTGTCTCCTTTTGACAACCTCCGCACTGTCTTGTTTCGTTCTAGTCCTCGTCGTGCTCCGCCTGTGTCTGTTCTCCCGCCACCTCCTGCATCGTCTCTCACTGTCTCTTCTTACCCAATCACTGACTACTAGCGTGCTGCTCGTCCTGTTGTCTCGCGTGTTCTCGCCTCTCTTGTCACCAACCCTCGTGCCTCTCCGTTGTCCGTCTCGGCTCTTACTGCCGCTGTCGCTGACTTTGCTTCCACCCGCCGCCTTGAATTCGCCACGCGTGTAGTGGCTGCTCCGCCTGCCCGTCCTCTGTCCGCCGGGGGTGACTTTGCCCTTGGCTGTGACGTCCTAGAGGATAGGCAGTGTGATTTGGAGTTCTTGGCATCCGCTTCCCCCTCTCTCTGTGCCATGCTGCTTTCCCCTGAGGGAGACCCCGACGCCCTTGACATTACGACTCCTCGCACATACCATGAGGCAGTGTCAAGGGAGGGCCCCTCAGTGGAAAGCGGCTATGGACTCAGAGTTAGCGTCTTGGAGATCCACAGGCACCTACGTCGACGCAGTTCCCCCTCCCAGGGCGAACGTTGTCGATGGCATGTGACTCTTCAAGGTGAAGCGACCGCCTAGATCACCGCCTGTGTTCAAGGCGCGCTACGTGGCTAGGGGTTTCAGTCAGCATGAGGGAGTTGACTTCTTCCAGACCTTCGCCCCGGCCCCGAAGATGACTACTCTTCGAGTGTTACTGCACGTAGCAGCACAGCGAGACTACGAGCTGCACTCCCTCGACTTCTCCACTTCGTTTCTTCAGGGCCACCTATACAAGGAGATCTGGTTGCGGCGTCCTCCTGCCTTCACTGACACCTTCCCACCTGGGACTCAGTGGAGCCTGAGGCGACCAGTCTACGGTCTCCGCCAGTTGCCCCGTAAGTGGCATGACACTCTTCACTCCATGCTTCGTGGCCTTGGTTTTCGTCCTTTTTCTGCCGACCCGGCGCTGTTTGTTCGTGCTGGTTCCACTCCTTTCTTTATACTTGTCTACATCGACGACTTGGTCTTTGCTACAGCAGACAGGGCAGCTCTGGCTGAGGTGAAATCCAAACTACAGAAGAGACACACGTGCACTGACCTCGGTGAACTGCAGCGCTACCTTGGCTTGCAGATCACCAGGGACAGAGCCGCTCGCACCATCACACTGACTCAGTCGCACATGGTGCAGCAGGTCATTCGGCGGTTCGAGTTTCAGTTCTCCACCACCCAGCCCACTCCTCTTGCTGTTGTCTACAGACTCACTGGCCCCTTTCCCGACGAGCCGTTTGAGTCTAGTGGTCCCTACGCAGAGCTTGTGGGCTGCCTCATGTACCTGATGACTTGTACTCGTCCGGACCTCGCCTTTCCCCTCAGCGTCTTCTCTCGCTTTGTTGCAACTTTGAGACACCGTCCCGTTCATTGGACAGCTAGTGTGAGGGTGGCGAAGCACCTGGCGACGACATCTGGCATGGGGCTTATGCTTGGAGGGACTCGACCAGTTGAGTTGACCGGTCACTGCGACTCTTCCTGCGCTGGCGACGTGGAGACTCAGCGTTCGACTCAGGGTGGCTGCTTCAGCCTGGGTGCTGGTGCTTTGTCCTAGAGGTCTACACGGTCGGCGTCTGTGGCTTCGTCTAGTGCAGAGGCAGAGATCTACGCTGTTGCCATGGCGGCCAGGAGCTTCGCTGGTTGACCTTCTTGCTCGCCGACCTTGGTGAGCGGCCTCGTTTTGCACGGACCTTGTACGCTGACAACAAGGCCATGATCCTCCTGTGTCGAGAGCCTCGACTGGAGAGCAGAGTGAAGCACATTGACGTGAGGTATTTTCTCCTGCGAGAGTTGCAGCGTCGCGGCCAAGCATGCTTGGACTTTGTGGCCTCAGAGGCCAACACTGCCGACTTGTTCACCAAGGCCTTGGCGCCTGGTGACCACCACAGGTTCAATGTGCAGCTAGGGCTTGTTGAGGTCGGTCCTCGGTTGCTGTAGTCTTGCTGTTTGCTCTGTTTGTCTTGCTTTTCTATATATCCTAGTGAACTCTTGAACTGGCTTTGTGGCCTCTTGTTTGTGCTCGGAGTGTGTGGTGACCCCTGATCGCCACCGTGAGCCTTGTTTTGTTGCTTGCTCTTGACTGGTCTTGTGACCATTTGCTGTCATTTGTTTGTTTCCTTCATGCCCCTCACTTAGCCTATGAGGGTGTGTCAAAATATAATATGTGTTGTAGGCCGTTGTGAGGTGCCTATTTGTTTGCATATTTGTACCCCATCCCTTTCTATTATATTCCTTCCGTTGCGTTCTATTTCTGTGAAGAATGACCACACATTTTCCTATCATACGGAGTATTGCAAACGTAGAAGCGAGGAACATGAGCTTTTGCATTGTAGGGTAGGGGTGAATTGTAAGCATCATCTACAACATCCATACACTAGAAAATGAGATGATCCGAAGTAAGATCAAGAGAAGGATGAAAATGAATATATTTATGCACAGAGCAAGTAATGAATATTATGGGGAAAATAATAATTATGCAAATTATTTTGGGTATTTTGACATATCCGTTATTTTTTTGTATTATCTTGCCGGATCCCCCTTCTAAATTAGTTTTTTCCTAATCTTCCAATTCAGCTCCAAACACGCGCTTCCTTCCTCTGCGTACATGCACTCAAATAGCTGTTTATAGACGATGTGTTACTTGGTTCACCATTCTACATGTTCATATTGTAGCTCACTCCTATAAACTCTTCTGTGTACAGTGTATGGAATTGGAAAGAGAATATTGCTTCTAGTGTTCGCCCGACAGCAATCGCCCCAGCGGCTCGCGACTCTAATGAAAACGCGTCTCACTCGTTACAGTGAACGTCAGTCATGACGTTTCGGCTTGTAACGATGGCCTTCTTGTGCCACCACCAGATCACATTACAAATTCGCGCGACGCGAGACTTCTAGAGGCTTGAAATTGCAAGTTCAATCCAGCTCGCCTCGCCAGCCCAGCGAAACAAAACCCAGTCCTGGGTTTTCACTCTCAACCCTGGATGGCGGCACTCCGTCAAGGGCTTGTTGCCATTGGCGCAAGGTCGCGCTTCGACCCACCCTGGGAAATACAACCTTGACAGTCAGCGATGCCCACCTACCTTGCACTCGTGGCCACATTGCTTTGCAAGCAATGTACGGGGATGAGTCATCGTGATCAGGGCTCAGCCTCCTCCATTGAAATAATGCCCACGCTTCCCATTTCCAAGCCATTCCCGAATGACTTGCTCTCGTACTGTTTGAGTTCAAGCTCTTTTCTCTTCGTGCTCCTCGCCACGGACACGCCATGTCAGGTCGTACATTCATGTTGCTCCTAGCGCTGGTCCTCGTAGGTGTCCCGTCCTGCCTGGCGGCACCGAGCCCAGGGTACGACGCGTCATTCAGCACGCACTTCCGCCTGCCGGCCTACTGCAACGGCACGTACTGCAACATCGGGCCAGACGGCACCGTCTCGCTTACTGCAGACAAGAACAAAATGGGAGGTTCGTCTCACGCGGTCTTGCCACGTTCATAGTGTGATTTAGGTCTGGGGGAATTCCTTGCCTGGAAACGCCTGGCATAAACAGCAACACGGCGACCGATCATTTTCCTGTTTTGTTTTGTTTACTTTTGTTCTCACTGTGTCTGGCGGCAGCATTCGAGTCGAAGAGCTACTACCAGTACGGAATTTTCGAGGTGAAGATGAAGCTGCCGCCGGGGTACTCGGGCGGGCTCATCCCGTGCATCTACCTCATCTCGGGCGAGGGGCTGGACTACCGCGATCTCCACGACGAGATGGACTTCGAATTCCTCGGGTGGAGCGACCCCACGCAGATCAAGATTCACACCAACGCCATCGCCGGCGGGTACACCAACGTCGAACAGGTAGGCAAAGGCAGTTGGCTCGTCGGCTGCTCCGACATTAGGATCCACGGCAACCGCGACTCTACACGGGACAGCTCCGTCGAGCAGGTAGGGGTTTGGAAAGGCCGGAGGGAACCGGCGAGAGCAAGATTCGCACCAAAGCGTAACCACGGGAGGTACGCACGTTGATTACCTGGCATTTTGAAAGGAAGTGCACTCGCGAGCGAACGAGATTGTGGATTGGTTGGTGGAATGAGCCGATTCGGAACGCCGAGGAGGTATTGAGCTTTATAGATAGTTATAGAGTAATGTGGGGTTTAATATGTTAATGTAATTCGACGAATGCGCTCTCACACGCGATACGAAGATATGGTGCTTCTGGAGTTTGAATCCTCCGCGTTTTCCTGTGATCTTCAACCCATTGCAACATGCCATGCCACCTCAGCACCCATCCGTATCCCTTTCCCCTCTCTCCCGCAGAAGCAGTTCAAACCCAACTTTCACATTCACGCCTGTATTAAGCTCGTATCAGGGACTCACCGGCGCATGGGCGTCTCCTCGGCGTCTTGCGGTTCGTCCTTTCATTTGCCCTCTTCCCCGCAGTACAAGTTTCGTTCGACCCGTCGGGGACTTCCACACGTAGACCACGGTGTATGCTCCCAACTGGCTCGTGTTTTGTGGCGCCTGAAAAACCCATCGTCCTTTCATTTACCCCCTTTCCCCTCTCCCTCGCAGTACAAGTTCCCGTTCGACCCATCGGCGGACTTTCACACGTACACGATGGTCTACGCGCCCAACTGGCTCGTGTGGAAGATCGACGGCAAGCCCATCCGCATCACCTGGCGCGAACCGGGCAAGCCTTTCCCCTCGCTTCCCATGAAAGTCATGGTGCGTTTCCCTTCCTCTCCCCGGCTCGTCCCCTAACGTCCCAGCAACGCGTTTCTGACATTATCACCCCTTCGCGTTTCTGTCGCACCTAGTTTCTCACGCTAATGCTTTTCGCCATGAAGCTAATCCGGAGTAACTTCTTACGTTTCCGCCAGTGGGCTGGTCGTCGTGCCCATTCTCAGTGTCCCCGCTTAACGATGTCATTCCACAAGCCCCTTTCTCCGCCCCTCCCTCCTCCCACCCACCCAACTGTCGTCTTGTTGGTAAGCAGGGGTCAATATGGGACGCGTCCTTTTGGCTGCCGTTCAAGAGCGATTACTCCAAGGGCAACGTGACAGTCAAGTTCCGCCGCTTCGACCTCAAGGACGCCTGCCGCTCAGTAGATCCCAAGGTCGAGCCTGCTTGCGCCTTCCGCAAAGATGCGCGCAAAGGCGCGTGGCTGAAGCGGCCCTCACGGAACGATATCGCGCGCGCCAAGCGACACAAAACGCTGTACCTGTACAAAGAATTCGGCGGATGGCAAAAGGTTGTGTAGGAGCTCGTAGATTGTGTTTGTACCTTAGGGTGTCTCCTAGGTGGATCACACCATAATTAGGAGCTAGACAATAGCTAGAGAGTAGGACATAGTCAGGATGTAGCTGACAGACGCGGTACAGGCTTCACCTGATAGTAGTTAGCAGTATTTCTGACTCAGCCTTGTTGTGTAGAAATCATATATTTCACTAAGCAGTTGAAGCAAACCTTGTGCTGAAATCGGGTAATAATATTTATGTTTTTTTTTTCAATTTTCACATCAAGTAATTGCTGGACCTGCCCATATTTGTGCAATTTTAAATTCCACATGTAACAATGCTCAACAAGTCCAGGTAGCATATGTGCTTATAGGTGTATCGTTCATTCTATCAATTTCTGTTACATTTGGTTCTCGTTTGAAGTTGTGGCGGGAACTCCGCACCTCAAATCCGACCTGATTTCAGCAGTGCATTCACAGCGAACCCTTCATCTCCACCCCACATACACAGTACCGTAAGTCCCTTGTAGTCCTGTTAGCACCGTCCCGCTTCGCTCAGTTTCGAAACCTGTGGGTGGGGGCATTCGCTCTAGCATGATCGCCTTCGCTCGATGCCATGGGACTGCCGGAGGGCCGTCGATCGCGTCGTCTTAGTTGGCAAGCGCGCCGCCCGCCGTCGCGCGGCGCCTCCTCGGCTCGGCGCGCCGAGCTACTTCGACGTCCGTCGTCGCTCCTCCGCGCCTCCATCCTCCTCCTCAGCTGCGTCGTCTCGCTCTCGCCACGTGGCTCGGCCTTATTGGCAGGCAGCGCCCACTGGCGCCACGTTGAGGCGCAGTCGCGCCATTCCCCCGAATCGCAGCCCGCGCGGAGGGCCAGCGGGGAGGCGGAAGGGGAAAATGTGGGGGAGGGGGAACCCCGCGCTGGTTCTGGGCCCGCAGCGTGGAGATGGGGCGGGGGAGAGGATGGGGAAGAACATCGCGGAAAGGATGTTAGTGGCGGAAGGGAAGGGGAAAGGATAGCTGCGGAGAGAAATGTGCGCGACAGAGAGGGGGAAGCAGGGGCGGGCGAGCGGGTTGAGCGGGTGGGAATGGGGATAGGGATGGGGTTGGGAGCGAGGGGGAGGGATGGAGGGAAGAGCGGGGGAGCGCGAGGTAGTCGGGAAGGGGACGCGGCGACAATGGCATGGGGGGAGGCGGCAGCGTGGGGAGGGGTGATGGTGCACCGCGCGCAGTGGCACTCCAGCAGACAGCGGAAGGGCGCGCAGGGGGACGGCGGGCAGGGGGGAAGCAGGCAGGCGGACGGCGGACGGAGGGAGGCGGAAATGGCCAGCGCGAACGGGGGCGCGGGCGCGGGCGCGGCGGAGATGACGGTTGGCGTTACATCACCGCGATTTTTGAGACGTCTCAAAAGCAACCCACCGCCCATGGGTACATCACCGCGATTTTTGAGACGTCTCAAAAGCAACCCACCGCCCATGGGTACATCACCGCGATTTTTGAGACGTCTCAAAAGCAACCCACCGCCCATGGGTACATCACCGCGATTTTTGAGACGTCTCAAAAGCAACCCACCGCCCATGGGTACATCACCGCGATTTTTGAGACGTCTCAAAAGCAACCCACCGCCCATGGGTACATCACCGCGATTTTTGAGACGTCTCAAAAGCAACCCACCGCCCATGGGTACATCACCGCGATTTTTGAGACGAAGGGGCAGCAGGAGGTGCTGCAGGCAGGCATTGAAGTGCAGGCAGGCATTGAAGTGCAGGCAGGCATTGAAGTGCAGGCAGGCATTGAAGTGCAGGCAGGCATTGAAGTGCAGGCAGGCATTGAAGTGCAGGCAGGCATTGAAGTGCAGGCAGGCATTGAAGTGCAGGCAGGCATTGAAGTGCAGGCAGGCATTGAAGTGCAGGCATTGAAGTGCAGGCATTGAAGTGCAGGCAGGCATTGAAGTGCAGGCAGGCATTGAAGTGCAGGCAGGCATTGAAGTGCAGGCAGGCATTGAAGTGCAGGCAGGCATTGAAGTGCAGGCAGGCATTGAAGTGCAGGCAGGCATTGAAGTGCAGGCAGGCATTGAAGTGCAGGCAGGCATTGAAGTGCAGGCAGGCATTGAAGTGCAGGCAGGCATTGAAGTGCAGGCAGGCATTGAAGTGCAGGCAGGCATTGAAGTGCAGGCAGGCATTGAAGTGCAGGCAGGCATTGAAGTGCAGGCAGGCATTGAAGTGCAGGCAGGCATTGAAGTGCAGGCAGGCATTGAAGTGCATGCAGGCATTGAAGTGCAGGCAGGCATTGAAGTGCAGGCAGGCATTGAAGTGCAGGCAGGCATTGAAGGAGGCGACCCCTCAGGTGCTCAGCGACCCCTCAGGTGCTCAGCGACCCCTCAGGTGCTCAGCGACCCCTCAGGTGCTCAGCGACCCCTCAGGTGCTCAGCGACCCCTCAGGTGCTCAGTGACCCCTCAGGTGCTCAGTGACCCCTCAGGTGCTCAGCTACCCCCTCAGGTGCTCAGCTACCCCCTCAGGTGCTCAGCTATCCCCTCAGGTGCTCAGCTACCCCCTCAGGTGCTCAGTTACCCCCTCAGGTGCTCAGCGACCCCTCAGGTGCTCAGCGACCCCTCAGGTGCTCAGCGACCCCTCAGGTGCTCAGCGACCCCTCAGGTGCTCAGCGACCCCTCAGGTGCTCAGCGACCCCTCAGGTGCTCAGCGACCCCTCAGGTGCTCAGCGACCCCTCAGGTGCTCAGCGACCCCTCAGGTGCTCAGCGACCTCTCAGGTGCTCAGCTACCCCCTCAGGTGCTCAGCTACCCCTCAGGTGCTCAGCGACCCCTCAGGTGCTCAGCGACCCCTCAGGTGCTCAGCGACCCCTCAGGTGCTCAGCGACCCCTCAGGTGCTCAGTGACCCCTCAGGTGCTCAGTGACCCCTCAGGTGCTCAGCTACCCCCTCAGGTGCTCAGCTACCCCCTCAGGTGCTCAGCTATCCCCTCAGGTGCTCAGCTACCCCCTCAGGTGCTCAGTTACCCCCTCAGGTGCTCAGCTACCCCCTCAGGTGCTCAGCTACCCCCTCAGGTGCTCAGCTACCCCTCAGGTGCTCAGCGACCCCTCAGGTGCTCAGCGACCCCTCAGGTGCTCAGCGACCCCTCAGGTGCTCAGCGACCCCTCAGGTGCTCAGCGACCCCTCAGGTGCTCAGCGACCCCTCAGGTGCTCAGCGACCCCTCAGGTGCTCAGCGACCCCTCAGGTGCTCAGCGACCTCTCAGGTGCTCAGCTACCCCCTCAGGTGCTCAGCTACCCCTCAGGTGCTCAGCGACCCCTCAGGTGCTCAGCGACCCCTCAGGTGCTCAGCGACCCCTCAGGTGCTCAGCGACCCCTCAGGTGCTCAGCGACCCCTCAGGTGCTCAGCGACCCCTCAGGTGCTCAGCGACCCCTCAGGTGCTCAGCGACCTCTCAGGTGCTCAGCTACCCCCTCAGGTGCTCAGCTACCCCTCAGGTGCTCAGCGACCCCTCAGGTGCTCAGCGACCCCTCAGGTGCTCAGCGACCCCTCAGGTGCTCAGCGACCCCTCAGGTGCTCAGTGACCCCTCAGGTGCTCAGTGACCCCTCAGGTGCTCAGCTACCCCCTCAGGTGCTCAGCTACCCCCTCAGGTGCTCAGCTATCCCCTCAGGTGCTCAGCTACCCCCTCAGGTGCTCAGTTACCCCCTCAGGTGCTCAGCTACCCCCTCAGGTGCTCAGCTACCCCCTCAGGTGCTCAGCTACCCCTTCAGGTGCTCAGCTACCCCCTCAGGTGCTCAGCTACCCCCTCAGGTGCTCAGCGGCCCCTCAGGTGCTCAGCGACCCCTCAGGTGCTCAGCGATCCCTCAGGTGCTCAGCTACCCCCTCAGGTGCTCAGCTACCTCCTCAGGTGCTCAGCTACCCCCTCAGGTGCTCAGCTACCCCCTCAGGTGCTCAGCTACCCCCTCAGGTGCTCAGCTACCCCCTCAGGTGCTCAGCTACCCCCTCAGGTGCTCAGCTACCCCCTCAGGTGCTCAGCTACCCCCTCAGGTGCTCAGCTACCCCCTCCGGTGCTCAGCTACCCCCTCAGGTGCTCAGCTATCCCCTCAGGTGCTCAGCGACCCCTCAGGTGCTCAGCGACCCCTCAGGTGCTCAGCGACCCCTCAGGTGCTCAGCGACCCCTCAGGTGCTCAGCGACCCCTCAGGTGCTCAGCGACCCCTCAGGTGCTCAGCGACCCCTCAGGTGCTCAGCGACCCCTCAGGTGCTCAGCGACCCCTCAGGTGCTCAGCGACCTCTCAGGTGCTCAGCTACCCCCTCAGGTGCTCAGCTACCCCTCAGGTGCTCAGCGACCCCTCAGGTGCTCAGCGACCCCTCAGGTGCTCAGCGACCCCTCAGGTGCTCAGCGACCCCTCAGGTGCTCAGCGACCCCTCAGGTGCTCAGCGACCCCTCAGGTGCTCAGCGACCCCTCAGGTGCTCAGCGACCCCTCAGGTGCTCAGCGACCTCTCAGGTGCTCAGCTACCCCCTCAGGTGCTCAGCTACCCCTCAGGTGCTCAGCGACCCCTCAGGTGCTCAGCGACCCCTCAGGTGCTCAGCGACCCCTCAGGTGCTCAGCGACCCCTCAGGTGCTCAGTGACCCCTCAGGTGCTCAGTGACCCCTCAGGTGCTCAGCTACCCCCTCAGGTGCTCAGCTACCCCCTCAGGTGCTCAGCTATCCCCTCAGGTGCTCAGCTACCCCCTCAGGTGCTCAGTTACCCCCTCAGGTGCTCAGCTACCCCCTCAGGTGCTCAGCTACCCCCTCAGGTGCTCAGCTACCCCCTCAGGTGCTCAGCTACCCCCTCAGGTGCTCAGCTACCCCCTCCGGTGCTCAGCTACCCCCTCAGGTGCTCAGCTATCCCCTCAGGTGCTCAGCTATCCCCTCAGGTGCTCAGCTACCCCCTCAGGTGCTCAGCTACCCCCTCAGGTGCTCAGCTACCCCCTCAGGTGCTCAGCTACCCCCTCAGGTGCTCAGCTACCCCCTCAGGTGCTCAGCTACCCCCTCCGGTGCTCAGCTACCCCCTCAGGTGCTCAGCTATCCCCTCAGGTGCTCAGCTATCCCCTCAGGTGCTCAGCTACCCCCTCAGGTGCTCAGCAAACGTTGAGGTGTGGTAGCAGTCTGCATGCCCCCCCTCCTTGTTGCTTTCCCTCACCCTTCCATTCACCATTCACTTCACCACTCCCTCCACCCCTCCTCCGCCCCCCTGTCCCGCCCGCCGCCCTGCCACCAGGCACGCTGGACAATTGGAACCCAAAGGACCCCACCCCCTGCTCCTGGACGGGCGTGCAATGCAACCCGTTCTCACAGCAGGTCAGTGCATTTGTTTTTTCTTGATTGCTGCACCCCCCCGCCTCATATCCGCACCTCATTCCCTCGACTCATCTTCCCATTGCCCGCTACCCCACTTTCGCACGCATTCCCCCCCCCATCTGCCCTCCCCCTCCAGGTGGTGGGTCTAGACCTCTCATAAGCGTCGCTCCTGGGCGATCTGGCTTTCCAGGACCCCCTCTGGGCGCGCTCACATCGCTGTCTATCCCTCTCTCCCTCTCCCCCTCCCTCTCCTCGCCTCCCCCCTCCACGTGGTGGGTCTAGACCTCTCAGCCGCCTCTCTCCTGGGCGATCTGGCCTTCCAGGACCCGCCTCTGGGCGCGCTCACATCGCTGTCCATCTCTTTCCCTGTCCCTCTGCCCCCCTCTTCCCCCACCAGGTGGTAGGTCTAGACCTCTCAGCCGCCTCTCTCCTGGGCGATCTGGCCTTCCAGGACCCGCCTCTAGGCGCACTCACGTCGCTGCAGCGCCTGCAGCTGGCCGACAACCTCTTCTCAGGCTCCATCCCCGACTCACTCTCCTCCATCCGCAGCTTACAGGTATCCTTAATGGTTGGGCTGCGTGAGGTGCACAATGCAGGTTGAATTCATCATCATATAAGCGCATGTGCACACTAAACGTCACTGCAGCTCGCCGACAACCTCTTCTCGGGCTCCATCCCTGACTCGCTCTCCGCCATCCGTAGCCTCCAGGTGAGGTCAACTGAGGTGCACGCAGGTAGGCCAACTGAGGTGCACGCAGGTAGGCCAACTGAGGTGCACGCAGGTAGGCCAACTGAGGTGCACGCAGGTAGGCCAACTGAGGTGCACGCAGGTAGGCCAACTGAGGTGCACGCAGGTAGGCCAACTGAGGTCCACGCAGGTAGGCCAACTGAGGTGCACGCAGGTAGGCCAACTGAGGTGCACGCAGGTAGGCCAACTGAGGTGCACGCAGGTAGGCCAACTGAGGTGCACGCAGGTAGGCCAACTGAGGTGCACGCAGGTAGGCCAACTGAGGTGCACGCAGGTAGGCCAACTGAGGTCACCGCATGTCATCCCATGAGCAGGAGTGACCAGAGTCCACCTCCCTGCAGTGCAGCTGCCCGTCAACCTCTTCTCTCACGAACCGTCTCTCCATCCCCGCCTCCCTCTCTCCATCCCCGCCTCCCTCTCTGCCATCCCCGCCTCCCTCTCTGCCATCCCCGCCTCCCTCTCTGCCATCCCCGCCTCCCTCTCTGCCATCCCTGCCTCCCTCTTTGCCATCCCCGCCTCCCTCTCTGCCATCCCCGCCTCCCTCTCTGCCATCCCCGCCTCCCTCTCTGCCATCCCCGCCTCCCTCTCTGCCATCCCTGCCTCCCTCTTTGCCATCCCCGCCTCCCTCTCTGCCATCCGCAGCCTGCAGGTGAAGTAAAGTGAGGACGATTGAGTGTAGGTGAGCGCATGCACACACAGTTGAGGTCACAGTTGAGGTCACAGTTGAGGTCAACGAACGTGCACATATGGGATGCCATTCACTCGCACAAGTGACCAGTGTCCCCTGCACTGCAGCTGCCTGACAACCTCTTCTCCGGCTCCATCCCTGTCTCCCTCCCTGCCATTTGCGGCCTGCAGGTGAATTCAAAGCATGTGCACATAGGTGAGGTCATGCGTGTGCATATGGGATCTCATCCCACGAGCAAGAGTGACCAGAGTCCACCTCCCTGCACTGCAGCTGCCTGACAACCTCTTCTCGGGCTCCATCCCCGACTCGCTCTCTTCCATCCACGGCCCGCACTGCGTTGGTGATACGCTCCTCTCACAAATTCCGCTCACTCCCTTCGTCCCATTCATCCCCCCTTCTTGTCCCCCTCCCAGGTGCTAGAGCTAGCCAGCAACGACTTGGATGGCATCATCCGGCCCACACTCTTCGCCACCCTGCCCTCTCTGTCCCCCTCTCTGTCCCCCTCTCTGTCCCCCTCTCTGTCCCCCTCCCTGTCCTCCTCCCTGCCATCCTCCGTTTCCCCCTGTCCCCTCCTCAGGTGCTAGAGCTAGCCAACAACGATCTCGACGGCATCATACCACCAACTCTCTTCTCCAACCTCCCTTCCCTCGCCACCGTCGACCTCAGTGACAACACCCTCTCGGGCCCTCTGCCCCAGGACGTGTCAGCCATGCAGTCGCTGCTCTCGCTGGACGTCAGTGGTAACCGCCTCGAGGGGCCGCTGCCGGACAATCTGTCGCAGCTGCGCCAGGTGTCGCAGCTGGTGCTGGATGGGAATAAGGGGTTAAGTGGATCGCTCAGTCCTGCTGTGCTGGGGTCCCTTCCCTCTCTCCAGGTGCGTGCGCCTGTGTGTGCTGAACCAGGTGTCACAGCTGGTGCTGGATGGCAACAAGGGGCTCTCTGGGTCGTTGAGTCCTGCCGTACTGAGGTCCCTTCTCTCGCTGCAGGTGTGTCAGTGTGTGTGTGAGTAAGAGGTTGTGTGCATGTGCGAGCGTGGTATGGCTGGTGCTGGATGGCAATGTGGGGTTCACTGGCCGCCCAGCCCTGCTGTGCTCGGCTAGCTGCCCAGGTGCATGCGAGTGTGACTGAGTTTGTGTGACTGTGAGTTTGTGTGACTGTGAGTTTGTGTGACTGTGAGTTTGTGTGACTGTGAGTTTGTGTGACTGTGAGTTTGTGTGACTGAGTTTGTGTGACTGTGAGTTTGTGTGACTGTGAGTTTGTGTGACTGTGAGTTTGTGTGACTGAGTTTGTGTGACTGTGAGTTTGTGTGACTGTGAGTTTGTGTGACTGTGAGTTTGTGTGACTGTGAGTTTGTGTGACTGTGAGTTTGTGTGAATGTGAGTTTGTGTGACTGCGAGTTTGTGTGACTGTGAGTTTGTGTGACTGTGAGTTTGTGTGACTGTGAGTTTGTGTGACTGTGAGTTTGTGTGACTGTGAGTTTGTGTGACTGAGTTTGTGTGACTGTGAGTTTGTGTGACTGTGAGTTTGTGTGACTGTGAGTTTGTGTGACTGAGTTTGTGTGACTGTGAGTTTGTGTGACTGTGAGTTTGTGTGACTGTGAGTTTGTGTGACTGTGAGTTTGTGTGACTGTGAGTTTGTGTGAATGTGAGTTTGTGTGACTGCGAGTTTGTGTGACTGTGAGTTTGTGTGACTGTGAGTTTGTGTGACTGTGAGTTTGTGTGACTGTGAGTTTGTGTGACTGTGAGTTTGTGTGACTGAGTTTGTGTGACTGTGAGTTTGTGTGACTGTGAGTTTGTGTGACTGTGAGTTTGTGTGACTGTGAGTTTGTGTGACTGAGTTTGTGTGACTGTGAGTTTGTGTGACTGTGAGTTTGTGTGACTGTGAGTTTGTGTGACTGAGTTTGTGTGACTGTGAGTTTGTGTGACTGTGAGTTTGTGTGACTGTGAGTTTGTGTGACTGAGTTTGTGTGACTGTGAGTTTGTGTGACTGTGAGTTTGTGTGACTGTGAGTTTGTGTGACTGTGAGTTTGTGTGACTGAGTTTGTGTGACTGTGAGTTTGTGTGACTGTGAGTTTGTGTGACTGTGAGTTTGTGTGACTGTGAGTTTGTGTGACTGTGAGTTTGTGTGACTGTGAGTTTGTGTGACTGTGAGTTTGTGTGACTGTGAGTTTGTGTGACTGTGAGTTTGTGTGACTGTGAGTTTGTATGACTGTGAGTTTGTGTGACTGTGAGTTTGTGTGACTGTGAGTTTGTGTGACTGTGAGTTTGTGTGACTGTGAGTTTGTGTGACTGTGAGTTTGTGTGACTGTGAGTTTGTGTGACTCTGAGTTTGTGTGACTGTGAGTTTGTGTGACTGAGTTTGTGTGACTGTGAGTTTTTGTGACTGTGAGTTTGTGTGACTGTGAGTTTGTGTGACTGTGAGTTTGTGTGACTGTGAGTTTGTGTGACTGTGAGTTTGTGTGACTGTGAGTTTGTGTGACTGAGTTTGTGTGACTGTGAGTTTGTGTGACTGTGAGTTTGTGTGACTGTGAGTTTGTGTGACTGTGAGTTTGTGTGACTGTGAGTTTGTGTGACTGTGAGTTTGTGTGACTGTGAGTTTGTGTGACTGTGAGTTTGTGTGACTGTGAGTTTGTGTGACTGTGAGTTTGTGTGACTGTGAGTTTGTGTGACTGTGAGTTTGTGTGACTGTGAGTTTGTGTGACTGTGAGTTTGTGTGACTGTGAGTTTGTGTGACTGTGAGTTTGTGTGACTGTGAGTTTGTGTGACTGTGAGTTTGTGTGACTGTGAGTTTGTGTGACTGTGAGTTTGTGGCATGGCCGAACACTAAGGTGTTTGGCACGAACTCGAACAGTTTTCCACGAACTCGAACAGTTTGCCATGGGGGGTACTTTCTATTATAATCACATTCAGTGCATGTAAGAAACTCAGGGCGTGTGTTCTACAAGCAAAATCAGAATGTAAATAAAGGTAGCAGCGAAGATCCGCAATGTCTCGCACACATGGTCTAGTGAAATATGGATAAATAAGTCAACAGCTCAAAGTTCAGGGCAACGACAAGTTAAGGACATGCAAAACAAAGCCAGACAGCACCAAGTCCCCATGCAACTCCCTCACTCAACTCCAGTTCCTCCCCCCACAGCAACAGCCTCCTCCTCATCCCCCTCATCTAGCCCCTCTCCCTCCAGCGCCAACTCTGGTGGTGCCTGCTGTCCGCTGCGGCCGGGTTCCTCACCAATACTCTTCCCAGGGTGTGACGTGTACCATGACCTGAGAGTCATGCTCGCGCTAACACGCTCAGTGTTCAGCCTGTGCCTGTGCAAGGAGATGAGGTTCCTCCCCATGGAGAAAGCTCGCTCGCTAGCTGCAGAGGTGGCGGGGATAGCGAGGTAATCCCGTGCCATCTGCCTCAACGTGTCCATGTTCCTCGCACACTGCCAGTACTGCAGCGCTGGCACGTCCGAGACAGGCAGCTCCGCTAAGTACCGATCCACCTCATCCCCCACCGACGTCCCCCCTCCCCCCGCTCTCGCTGCTGCGCTAGCTGAAACACGCTTCTGCAGCTGTGCCCTAGAGAACACAAACTCGTCGTCGTCGTCCTCGAACGGTGTCACCACTGCTGCTGCTGGTGCTGGTGGTGGGGTGGGAGCTTCACGTGCTGCTCGAGCTTGGTACTCCTCCACTCGGCGGCGCACCAAGCTCACCACCCTGTCCGCACTCATACGTGGCTTAAGCCGCCCACCGTCACGTGCCACTATGCCTGGATGCATCAGCTCCCAGTGTGTCATCCTGAAGTACTCGGCCTTCATGGACGGATCCAAGAAGGTCGCGATCCAGTACTCGTCCCCGATGGCAAACTCGTACTGCTTCAGATGCCCCAGCGCGGCAGACATGAGTGGACGAACTAGTTCATGCGTCCCTGTGTGCAGCTTCTTCTCCAGGCTGTCGATGAGGGCGTAGAAGTAAGGCAGCACCATCGACACAGTGGGGTAGGTCGACCCCTCGGCGGCCGTGGAGACTCTGGCAAAGGGACGGAGAAACCCCTCCAAAGCCCCCAAGGCCTCCCACTCGACATCGGTCACACGCAAACCTCGCCACTTCTCCTTCTCTTCCTTCGTGGTGCCCTGTTGATTAGGTGAGGGCGCAAGATTGGGTTGGATGACATTGAGTACATGTGCTTAGGCTTGGGGAACGGTTGGAACGTAGTGGATTCTGACAATCTTCAAAGCAACAGCTCTTACGCGTCCAATCAACACAGATTGCAATGGATACGAATGGAGCCGTACCTGCTCGCGGGCAAAGTGCATGTCGATGAAGGGCCTCAGCAGCAAGAAGCGCTTAACCATCTCGTATGTGGACCCCCACCGCGTAGGACTGTCCTGAACGAGCTTGTGCGGCCCATTGGGCAGCACTCCATGCCGAACCTGCAGCGCAATGAAGGCGGCTCCTCGCTGGGGCGACATGCCCACCCACGTAGTAATCTCCCGCACCTTCTTCAGGGGCACCGTCATCGACTCCACACCCAGCCCAGACTGCACTGCAAGGTTCACAATGTGCGACAGGCACCTGCGTTGGATCGGAGGGGTTTAGGGTTTCAAACCGGCGAACAAGGTTACAAGGGTGTTATGGTGCGGACAGAAGCAAAAGGGACCAGGTTTAGGAACTTGGAATCCAGCTACAAGACGGACCTGTAGTGCGCCTTCTCGCTGAAGTACCCCGAGAATTCACCCTCCTCCGCCAGGTGCCGAAGAGCAACTACGTTTGCAGACGCATTGTCGGTCGTGAGACCGAGGCAACGCGTCTGCAACTTCCACTGCACCACCACCTTCTCCACCGCCTTAGCAATTTCCTTCCCCCCATGCCTGCCAGGCATCTCGACGAAAGCAAGAATCACCTGGCGCAACTCCCACTGCACTGACACGAAGTGACCTGTCAGCACCATGTAGGCCTTGCCGTTCGGGCCTGTCCACATGTCGGTGCTGTACGACACGGCACAGGTTGTAGAGGCCAGCTCTGCAATCGCTGCCTCGAGCGCCAAGTCAGCAAGGACAACGGTGTCGCGCGCCACCGTCCAGCGTGATGGGATAACGCCCTTTTCCCCACACTTTTCGTTCAGCAGGATCAGCAGCTCCTTGAACTGGTGTTATATATACAAGCACGAGGAGGGGCGAATAAGGTGGACATCAATTCATGATGCCATGATGGCTGGCTGTACTGCAATGAAGTAGCACGTGCGGCCAGCAATCTCAATCCATCAAAGCACAACGAAAAGGAGGGGGGGTGAACGCTTTCTCACCGCATCCAGCTCGACGATGCGAAAGGGCAAGTCGCCGGTCACCACAAGCTTCGTGATCGCCGCACGAAGCTCCAGCTTACTCAGCCTCGCTGTAACAAAGCGCTCAATGCCGCCTGCCTCACCCTTCGCGCTCGGGGTCTGCACCACCGGCAACTTGGGCCACGAGGCCACGTGTGGCCAATTCACCACCTTCCTGTCGGGAACTCCATCGTAGCCACCCTCCGGGAAAGTCTCCCCCTTAGTCAGTAGGTGTGGTCTTAGGGACCTATACTGCCAAATGGCGTGGTGCGCCGTGTGCTTCGCAACCATGTGGCGCACCCCTGGAGTCGTAGTGCCCGTCGACCAACTGATACGGGTATCGCACATCTTACACTTGCGCTTCTCATCCGCCCCCAATGGCCCGAACATCTGGACCTGCCAACCCGGGGCCTTCTTACACCCTTTCGTGGCCTTTAAAGGCCCATCATTCTCATCTACCGACGCGGCCATACCATCCTCTCCCACCCCCTCCTCCTGAACTTCTATGCCTTTACCCTTGCCCTTTTTCTTCCCGTTCCCCTTGCCTTTGGCCTTCCCCTTGGCCTTCCCCTTGGCCTTCCCCTTGGCCTTCCCCTTGGCCTTCCTCTTAGCCTTCCCCGGCTGGGACACCCCCTCCTCCTCCTCCTCCTCCTCAGCCTCCTCACCACTACCCTCTCCCTCCCCCTCCTCCACCTCCTCCTCCTCCTCCTCCTCCTCCTCCTCCTCCTCCTCCTCCTCCTCCTCCTCCTCCTCCTCCTCCTCCTCACCCTTCTCCTCCTCCTCCTCCTCGTCATCCCTCAACCCCGCGCAATCCCCATCTTTCTTCGGATCATAATCCTTGTCGGTGCTATCGGATGGACTACGTTGGATGCGTGGGCGCTTCTTTTCCAGCCGCCACTCTCCAGCCAATCCCTTTGGCTCCCCCCCCCCCCCCACCACCCTTGACCTTCCCCCACCCCCCTTCCGCATCCTCCTCGGCCTCCTCTGAAATCTCTTCGATCTCATCACGAGACTTCCCATACCGATGTGAGGGTGCAGCCAGCCCCCCGCCACTAAACCTGTAGCTTTTTGGTGACGTGGGGACTCCTAGGTATTGCCCCCCTATGAGCTCGAGAGGTGCGAGAGGGCTTGCGGTCCCAGTTGCAGTATCTAGTAGTGCGGATGGGCCAGGAATGGCCTTGTCTTGGCTGCTAACCAACCCTACATCAACCATTTCTGAATCCATCCGCCTTGCTAAACTCTTTGCTAAAACGAAATGCTCTTGATTTCTGTTTTTAAACGTTTCCTAACCTAATCTACCCTTGTACTTAACGTTTCTAGCCTCAATGTGGACTTTAAACCGTGGGAGTGGTGCAGTTTAAATGGGTAGTGGGCGGAATGCTATCCTAACTGGAAATTGACGATTGAGCCCAAGAATGAGCTCAATCGTCACTTTCCCCTTTTAGATCCAACCAGCGCGTCAATTTTTGACGCGCTGGATTTCGACGAACACCTCGGTGTTCGCCCGCGAACACCTTGTGTTCGCGAACACCTCGGTGTTAGCCCGCGAACACTTTGTGTTCGCGAACACCTAGGTGTTCGTGCATTTTTTTGCACGAACCAAAACGAACACTCGAACATGTTCGTGACGAACACCTAGGTGTTCGTCACGAACATTTTTGGGCAAAAAAAAACCCCTGTTCGGTTCGAGTCGAACACGTTCGACTCGAACCGAACAGGGGTTCGGGAATTTGCTCATGTCTAACTGTGAGTTTGTGTGACTGTGAGTTTGTGTGACTGTGAGTTTGTGTGACTGTGAGTTTGTGTGACTGTGAGTTTGTGTGACTGTGAGTTTGTGTGACTGTGAGTTTGTGTGACTGTGAGTTTGTGTGACTGTGAGTTTGTGTGACTGTGAGTTTGTGTGACTGTGAGTTTGTGTGACTGTGAGTTTGTGTGAATGTGAGTTTGTGTGACTGTGAGTTTGTGTGACTGTGAGTTTGTGTGACTGTGAGTTTGTGTGACTGTGAGTTTGTGTGACTGTGAGTTTGTGTGACTGTGAGTTTGTGTGACTGTGAGTTTGTGTGACTGTGAGTTTGTGTGACTGTGAGTTTGTGTGACTGTGAGTTTGTGTGACTGTGAGTTTGTGTGACTGAGTTTGTGTGACTCTGAGTTTGTGTGACTGTGAGTTTGTGTGACTGTGAGTTTGTGTGACTGTGAGTTTGTGTGACTGTGAGTTTGTGTGACTGTGAGTTTGTGTGACTGTGAGTTTGTGTGACTGTGAGTTTGTGTGACTGAGTTTGTGTGACTGTGAGTTTGTGTGACTGTGAGTTTGTGTGACTGAGTTTGTGTGACTGTGAGTTTGTGTGACTGTGAGTTTGTGTGACTGTGAGTTTGTGTGACTGTGAGTTTGTGTGACTGTGAGTTTGTGTGACTGTGAGTTTGTGTGACTGTGAGTTTGTGTGACTGTGAGTTTGTGTGACTGTGAGTTTGTGTGACTGTGAGTTTGTGTGACTGTGAGTTTGTGTGACTGTGAGTTTGTGTGACTGTGAGTTTGTGTGACTGTGAGTTTGTGTGACTGTGAGTTTGTGTGACTGTGAGTTTGTGTGACTGTGAGTTTGTGTGACTGTGAGTTTGTGTGACTGTGAGTTTGTGTGACTGTGAGTTTGTGTGACTGTGAGTTTGTGTGACTGTGAGTTTGTGTGACTGAGTTTGTGTGACTGTGAGTTTGTGTGACTGTGAGTTTGTGTGACTGTGAGTTTGTGTGACTGTGAGTTTGTGTGACTGAGTCTGTGTGACTGTGAGTTTGTGTGACTGTGAGTTTGTGTGACTGTGAGTTTGTGTGACTGTGAGTTTGTGTGACTGTGAGTTTGTGTGACTGTGAGTTTGTGTGACTGTGAGTTTGTGTGACTGTGAGTTTGTGTGACTGTGAGTTTGTGTGACTGTGAGTTTGTGTGACTGTGAGTTTGTGTGACTGTGAGTTTGTGTGACTGTGAGTTTGTGTGACTGTGAGTTTGTGTGACTGTGAGTTTGTGTGACTGAGTTTGTGTGACTGTGAGTTTGTGTGACTGAGTTTGTGTGACTGAGGTTGTGTGACTGTGAGTTTGTGTGACTGTGAGTTTGTGTGACTGTGAGTTTGTGTGACTGTGAGTTTGTGTGACTGTGAGTTTGTGTGACTGTGAGTTTGTGTGACTGTGAGTTTGTGTGACTGTGAGTTTGTGTGACTGTGAGTTTGTGTGACTGTGAGTTTGTGTGACTGTGAGCTTAGTTGGAGTATACGCTAAAATTATTTTGCGTTTTGAGTTTATACGCTCTAAAAAAACGACCGCTGCGTTTTTGATTCGGAAACGCTGAAAAACGCTCGGGCTGACCGGAAAAAAAAAGTTCAAAAATTGAGTTTCGGTTCGCGAAGTGGCGATTTATATGTGGGGTTTCGCACGTCGCGAGTTCAACGTGCAATTCGAAATTTCAACCCGAGTCGCACCAAACCCACCCTTCACCCCTGCAAACTCCCTCGTACCCCATTCAACTACAACCTCTTCAAACACAACATTGAGGTGAGTCCCCCGCAACCCACCCTCCATCTCTAAGGTAAATGTCAGTGCTTTTCCACTCGTTATTCATTACTCAGTTCTCCTCTCTTCTATAGCTCGCCTCTTCAGCATTGCGACCCCTCCTTCAGCAACACCCAGTAGTACTAGTAGTCCACCAACTGCAGCTCCTCATGCTAGTTCTGTTGAGGAAACCAGCGCCGATCTGGTTATCCTGCACGAAACCCATGCTGTGTACAAACATTTCCTTGTGAAGGCCGGCGATGACAGCGACCACGCCACCAAGGTGTGCAAGTGGTGTCGCCACAAGTTTACGGGCGGTATGTACCGCGCTGCTCAGCACATCACCAGCTGGAAGAATATGCGGCGTCGTGAAGTCCGCATCTGCAAGGATGCTCCCAAGGCCGCTCGGGATGGAGTGAAGGCACTCTACGAGACCAAGTCCAAGACCCGGGAGCAGAAGCGCGTCGCTGAAGTCTCGGCCATTGCTGCAGATTCCGGCGCTGCTGGCGAGTCGAAGAAGTCTCGCATGACCGACTTCTACGGCGACGAGTCAGCCTGCAAGAAGAATAGCGCCGACGAGTCGATCTGCCTCGCGTTCGCCGCTCTGCGCCTCCCCGAACACCACGCGGACCACCCTGTTTGGCTCAACATGGTCTCCTGCATTGCGCGTGCGGGCGACGGCTACGTCGCACCGAGGCGTCGGTTCATCGGTGGCGTCGGGCTCCAGAAATGTCGTAAGCGCATTGAGTCGGCGCTTGTTCCGATCGCGGCGAGCTGGCGGCGGGATGGTGTAACGGTGTCGAGCGACATGATGACTGACCGCAACCACCGTCCGCAGGCGAATGTCCTTCTGATCAACGACAGTGGCGCGGTCTTCGTGGAGTCTGTCGACACAAAGATGGAACAGAAGACGGGAGGTTACATCGCGTCGCTTCTCCGTCCCATTCTCAAGAAACTCGGACCGGAAAACGTGGTGGCATTTTGCATGGACGGCGGCTCGAACTATGCGGTGGCGTGCAGGGAGCTGATGGAGGATTACCCCCACATTGAGCACGTACCTTGTGCTACCCACGTCCTCGATCTCATGATGGAGGACGTTGGGAAGATGGACTGGGCGTCGAACCTCGTCTCCCGCGGGAACGAGATCATCACCTTCACGCGCAGCCACCACTTCACGCGGGGGTATCTGCGCAGCCCCATGGTCAATGGCGGGAAGGGCAAGCAGGTCCTGAAACCCGCAGGCACTCGCTTCGGCACGCAATTCATCGCTATTTCTCGCCTTTGCGAAGTCCGCCTTGCCCTCGTGCAGATGGTTTTAAGCGAGGAATGGGAGGGCTGGGCAGCAGGCGCAAGGAGTAAGAGCGCGGCCACTTTCCGCGAGCACATCATGGACGAGACTTGGTGGAAGACGGCCGAGTTCTTCACCAAGCTCATGGCGAAGCCGTTCGCCGTCATGCGGGCTACGGATGCCACGACAAAGGGGATGATGGGGCGCCTCTACGACTCCATGCTGCAGCTCACCGAGGACGTGGATGACATCCTTGATAAGCACTCCGCGGGGTACCTGACGAGGGCGGAGGTTAAGGAGATCCGCCTCATCGTGAAGCACCGGTGGGACAAGTGCTTGGCGTGCCCCTTGCATGTGGTTGGCAGGATCTTGAATCCCGCCAACCAAGAGGAGGGCATCTTCAGGAACGACGTCGAATGCACGTGCGTGCTGAAGGCCTACATCGCCAAGCACTACGACCACCTCACCTTCACCGATAGCGACGGCGAGGAGCGCCGTGCCTCCCTTGTGCTGCAGGAGGAGCTGACGGCGTACCTGACCCTGCAAGGAAGTTTCGGGCTGCCCACCGCCATTGAAGACCGCGCGGCGGTGAAGGCGGGGAAGATGACGGCCGTCCAGTGGTGGACTTGGCACGGCACGGATGCGCCCCACCTTGCTACGTGCGCAATCCGCACGCAATCTTTCGCAGCCGGTGTCCGCGTCGCCCTGTGAGCGCAATTGGTCCATGTGGGACGCGGTCCACACGGCAAGGCGCAACCGCCTCGGGTCCGAGAAGTGCAGGGACCTCGTATATGTTGCGCACAACTGGCAGGTTGTGCATAACTGGTACAAGGTCCCTGAGGGGCAAGGGGTGGTCAACGGCAACATTCCTGAGGCGCCACTTCCCGAGGGCTACAACGTGGAAGAGGATGGGGACGAGGATGAGGAGGACATGGTTCTTGAGGATGAGTATGCGTAGACGTGCATGTGGGGAGGGGGTGGTATGGGATGGGATGGGAAAGGGAAGGGAATGGGAGGTGGGGTAGGGGGGCTAGTGATGTAGCCAAAATGTTGTGTGAATGTAACCTGCCCTATAATAAAAGGGGAAGGGAGATGATGGTGCCTTGCATCACCCCCTTCCCCACCTCTTCACCCAAAAATTTCACCTGCCCAAAACTTTTTTTACCCCTGCCCGGCCCTGCGTTTTCACTGCGTATCGGACCCCCCCAAAGATGCGTACAGCGTTTAAACGCTAGCGTTAAAACGCTAGCGTATGAAACGCGAAACGCGTATACTCCAACTAAGACTGTGAGTTTGTGTGACTGTGAGTTTGTGTGACTGTGAGTTTGTGTGACTGTGAGTTTGTGTGACTGTGAGTTTGTGTGACTGTGAGTTTGTGTGACTGTGAGTTTGTGTGACTGAGTTTGTGTGACTGTGAGTTTGTGTGACTGTGAGTTTGTGTGACTGTGAGTTTGTGTGACTGTGAGTTTGTGTGACTGTGAGTTTGTGTGACTGAGTTTGTGTGACTGTGAGTTTGTGTGACTGTGAGTTTGTGTGACTGTGAGTTTGTGTGATTGAGTTTGTGTGACTGAGTTTGTGTGACTGTGAGTTTGTGTGACTGTGAGTTTGTGTGACTGTGAGTTTGTGTGACTGTGAGTTTGTGTGACTGTGAGTTTGTGTGACTGATTTTGTGTGACTGAGTTTGTGTGACTGTGAGTTTGTGTGACTGTGAGTTTGTGTGACTGTGAGTTTGTGTGACTGTGAGTTTGTGTGACTGAGAGTTTGTGTGACTGTGAGTTTGTGTGACTGTGAGTTTGTGTGACTGTGAGTTTGTGTGACTGTGAGTTTGTGTGACTGTGAGTTTGTGTGACTGTGAGTTTGTGTGACTGTGAGTTTGTGTGACTGTGACTTTGTGTGACTGTGAGTTCGTGTGACTGTGAGTTTGTGTGACTGTGAGTTTGTGTGACTGTGAGTTTGTGTGACTGTGAGTTTGTGTGACTGTGAGTTTGTGTGACTGTGAGTTTGTGTGACTGTGAGTTTGTGTGACTGTGAGTTTGTGTGACTGTGAGTTTGTGTGACTGTGAGTTTGTGTGACTGTGAGTTTGTGTGACTGTGAGTTTGTGTGACTGAGTTGTGACTGTGAGTTTGTGTGACTGTGAGTTTGTGTGACTGTGAGTTTGTGTGACTGTGAGTTTGTGTGACTGTGAGTTTGTGTGACTGTGAGTTTGTGTGACTGTGAGTTTGTGTGACTGTGAGTTTGTGTGACTGTGAGTTTGTGTGACTGTGAGTTTGTGTGACTGTGAGTTTGTGTGACTGTGAGTTTGTGTGACTGTGAGTTTGTGTGACTGTGAGTTTGTGTGACTGTGAGTTTGTGTGACTGTGAGTTTGTGTGACTGTGAGTTTGTGTGACTGTGAGTTTGTGTGACTGTGAGTTTGTGTGACTGTGAGTTTGTGTGACTGTGAGTTTGTGTGACTGTGAGTTTGTGTGACTGTGAGTTTGTGTGACTGTGAGTTTGTGTGACTGTGAGTTTGTGTGACTGTGAGTTTGTGTGACTGTGAGTTTGTGTGACTGAGAGTTTGTGTGACTGAGTTTGTGTGACTGTGAGTTTGTGTGACTGTGAGTTTGTGTGACTGAGTTTGTGTGACTGTGAGTTTGTGTGACTGTGAGTTTGTGTGACTGTGAGTTTGTGTGACTGTGAGTTTGTGTGACTGAGTTTGTGTGACTGTGAGTTTGTGTGACTGTGAGTTTGTGTGACTGTGAGTTTGTGTGACTGTGAGTTTGTGTGACTGTGAGTTTGTGTGACTGTGAGTTTGTGTGACTGTGAGTTTGTGTGACTGTGAGTTTGTGTGACTGTGAGTTTGTGTGACTGTGAGTTTGTGTGACTGTGAGTTTGTGTGACTGTGAGTTTGTGTGACTGAGTGTGTGTGACTGAGTGTGTGTGAGTGGATTCGTATCTGTGAAAATGGGTGCGAGGAATCAACTGCCACTTACCATAGTGCACTACCACTTACCATAGTGCACTACCACTTACCATAGTGCACGACAACCGCACAACGTGTGTGACTAAACTTTTAGTGCTCAGCGTCCCGGCCTCTCCTCACGTCTCTTCACCTGTCTCCGCCCCTCTTTCCCCCCATCAAACCCACCAGGTGATCTCAGCTCGAGGCTGCAGCTTTAGCGGCTTCCTGCCGCCCGCTCTCGGCTATGCGCCGCGCCTGCAATCGCTGGATCTGGGCGGCAACCAGCTGGCGGGCGGCATCCCTCCCACGTGGGGCCAGATGGGCAGTCTGACCTCTCTGGTAATGAACGGCAACCAGCTGTCTGAGAGCATCCCTTCCGCCCTCAACGGCCTCTCTGCTCTTCAGGTGGGTTCGAGGCACGGGGGGCTGGATATTGCATCGGGCTGCGCCAGATGGGCGGTCTGACCTCTCTGGTAATGAACGGCAACCAGCTGTCTGAAAGCATCCCTTCTGCCCTCAACGGCCTCTCTGCTCTTCAGGTGGGTCCAAAGCAGGGAAAGGTGCAGGCATGGAGGGTTGGCGGAAAAGGGGGGATGAGAGGTCAATAGTCGCTTGTGATGAACGGCAACCAGCTGTCAGCAACCCCTCCCGCCTCAACAGACCCTCTGCTCTGTAGGCGGGTTTCAAAGCGGAGGAGGGTGAAGTGAAGTCAGGGAGGGCTTAAAGGGGGGTGGGGGGTGAAAACAGGAGAGGGGTTCTAAGGCAGGGGGGCATGAGAATTGGAATGGGCTGCTCTGTGAGATGAACTGGTATGGCCAGGAACTGAACAGGCCACTTCAGATGGGCAGTCTGACGTCGCTGGTGATGGGCGTCTTTTGAGGCGCCTCAAAATGGGCGTCCGCATAGAACTGAACTGGCACCATCCCTCTCCGCTCCTTCTCAATCCTTCCCCCCCTCTCGCTCCCCCTCCTTGCCTGCCTGTCTGCATGTTGTTCTGACCCCCTTATCCCCCACAGAGGCTGGATGTGAGCAGCAGCGGGCTCAGCGGCGCCCCCACCCCACTCCCTCCTCTCAATCACACCCCTTCCTCTCTCTCTCCCTCCCCACCCCACTCCCTCCTCTCAATCACACCCCCCCCTCTCTCTCTCCCTCCCCACCCCACTCGCCTGCCTGCCTACCTGCCCCCCTCATCCCCACTCAACAGAGGCTGGATGTCAGCAGCAACGGGCTCAGCGGTACCATCCCAACCCTCAATGGGCTCACCGCTCTCAACCTCTCAGCAAACCAGCTCTCAGGACCCATCCCCACCGATGGCGTTCTAGGAAGCTTCCCGCCTTCTTCCTTTGCCGGCAACCCCGGGCTCTGCACTGGGAACTGCGCCTCTCCCCCTACTGTCCGCCCTCCCCCTACCATTGCTCCCCCCATCTTCCCCCCGCCGACTCTCTTCCCCCTGCCCGTCCCCATGGCCCCTCTCCCCCCGCTCTCCCCTCCCCCACCCCCCTATGTTGAGCCTCCGCCCTACAGTCCTCCCATTCCGCCCCCAATTCGCTCCTCCCCACCTGCTCCTCGCCCCCCTCCCCTCTCACCCCGACCTCCTCCCCGCTCCCCCCCCCGTTCTCCCCCACTACCCCCTCCCCTGCGCCCTCCCCCCGCTCCCCCCAAGCCACCCTCCTTGAGGCCCCCTCCTGTTCCCCCCACTCTCCCGCCCTTCCCGCCCCCCTCCTCCCCCAAACCGCCCCCTCCTCTCTTGAAGCCGCCCTCCCCTCCTCGCTCACCTCCCCCCCGCCCCCCTCCCATTCCGCCCCGTTTGCCCCCTCCCGTTCCCCCTCCCGTACCCCCTCCTGTTCCTCCACCCAGCCCCCCTCTTTCTCCCCCTCGCCCCCCTCCGCTCCCCCCTCCTCTCCCCCCTCCGCGTCCCCCGCCCCGCCCCCCTCCTCACCCCCCTCCTCTCCCTCCGCCCCCCTCGCCTCCCCCATCCCCCCCACCTCTCCCCCCACCAAGTCCCCCAAGTCCCCCTCCCCGTCCCCCACCTTCTCCCCCGCCCTCCCCTCCCCCCCCAAGCCCACCACCACCCCAAACCCCCCCATCCCCTCCGCCTTCCCCCCCTCCCTCCCCTCCTCCATCCCCCCCCCCACCATCCCCCCCATCACCCCCACCCCCATCCCCACCTCCTCTCCCCCCATCCCCTCCCCCGCCACCATCACCCCCTCCATCCCCCCCATCCCCCCCATCCTCCCCTCCGCCTCCCCCATCACCCCCTTCCCCCCCATCCATCTTCGCCCCCCCCCAGCTGCTCAACCGCATGGTGCTGCCATCCAACACCACCAAGCCCATGCCAGTCAGTGCCATCTTCGCCTTCTCCCTCTCAGCGGTGCTCGGCGCGCTGCTCATGGGCGTCTGTTTCACCATCAACCAGCCCTACTCCTCCTCCTCTGGCCAATCGCGCGCGTGGGCAGCAGCAGGGGCAGGGGGCGGGGGTGGGGGCGGGGGAGGGGGCGGAGGGGTGCTGGGGGGTTTTTTAGGGGGAGGCGGGGGGGAGGGAGGGGGGGCTAGGATGGGGATACTGGGGGCGGCAGGGGGGGCGATGGCAGGGGCGGCAGCGGGGATTGCGGGCGGCAGGCACTCGTCAGCAGCCCAGCAGCTTGTCACAATGTTTAACGGGCAGACAATGCATGTGGACGACCTCCGGGCAGCCACGGAAAATTTCGGGCCCGGGCAGATGATGGTGGGCGGGGCGGGCCCGAGCGGGGCAGTGTCGTTTCTGGCTGAGATGGCGGACGGGGCGGCGGTTTTTGTCGCGAAGCAGCTGCCGCCCCTGCTGGGGGGAGATGCTGTCAACTTTGTGTTCGAGGTGAGTCTGGGGGGGGGGGAAGAAGGGGAGAGGGAGAGGCGCGGGTTGGAGGGAGAGGCATGGTAGCGTGGGGGGGGGGGGGGGGAAGGAGGGGTTTGTGAGGGGAGAGGAGGGGAGAGGAGGGGAGAGGGGCGTGGGAAAGGGGAGCAAGGAGAGGCGGGGCGTGGTAAGGGAGAGAAGGGGTATGGGAGGAGAAAGGATGGGGGAGAGAGGAGGGAAGGATAGGGGATGGGGGTGGGGGAAGGAGAGGAGGGAGAAAGTTGGAAGAATTTTCCAAATGATCAAATATCCTAATCGATGCTGGCATGATGATGCACATTCTACCGAGCACCGCATTGAATTGAGCTTCCACCTGCTCCAACCATGTTGCACCACTACATCTTACCACCACACAATATCACCACCCAGCAGCGCCACACATACACAGCACCACCATACACCCCAAAACCCCACCTTCTCCCAACCTTGCGAGCAGCATGAGGCACGCCTGCGAGCAGCATGGGGCACGCCTGCGAGCAGCATGGGGCACGCTTGCAAGCAGGGGCGAGGCAAGACAACATTCTGCCAGTGGTGGGGTGCTGGAAGGACGCCTGTTGATACATCTCAAACTCAATCCCACTCTCCCCACCTTGCCCTCCTCCCCCGCTACCTATGCAGCACGAGGCACGCCTGCTATCAGCAGTGCGGCACGACAACATTCTGCCGGTGGTGGGGTTCTGGGAGGGCGCAGGCGGGTCAGGCGAGCCCATGAGGGTGCTGCTGTACGACTACATGCCCAACGGTGACCTGCGGGAATTCCTTTACGATGAGGTCAGTTTCCACATGCCATGCCACATGTGCTGTCGTGCTGCTGCATGTCACTTGTGGCGGTACTAGTGGGTCAGGCGAGGCTGTGCGCATGCTGCTGTACGACTACATGCCCAACGGTGACCTGCGAGAGTTCCTGTATGACGAGGTCAGTTCATACATGTGCAATGGTGACATGCCACATATGCTGCTGTACATGTGTGAGACTAGTGGGTCAGGCGAGTCCATGAGGGTGTTGCTGTACGACTACATGCCCCATGGGGACCTGCGAGAGTTCCTGTATGACGAGGTCAGTTTCCACATGCCACATGTGCTGTTGTGCCGTTGCATGCCACTTGTGGTGGTACTAGTGGGTCGACTGAGTCCATGCGCGTTTTGCTGTAGGACTACATGCCCAATGGGGACCTGCGAGAGTTCCTGTATGACGAGGTCAGTTCCCACATGCCATGCCACATGTGCTGTAGGACCACATGCCATGCCACATGTGCTGTAGGACTACATGCCCTATGGGGTCTTGCGGGAGTTCCTCTATGATGAGGTGAGTTCTTTTTACATGCCACATGTACTGCTGCCCCACATCTACTGCTGCCCCACATGTACTGCTGCCCCACATGTACTGTTGCCCCACATGTACTGCTGCCCCACGTGTACTGCTGCCCCACATGTACTGCTGCCCCACGTGTACTGCTGCCCCACGTGTACTGCTGCCCCACATGCGACACAGTGTGCTCGCGCACATGCCCTTCCCCCACCATCACCTGCCTGCTTCGCCCTGACCACATCCGCTCCTGCTTCGCCCTGACCACATCCGCTCCTGCTTCGCCCTGACCACATCCGCTCCTGCTTCGCCCTGACCACATCCGCTCCTGCTTCGCCCTGACCACATCCGCTCCTGCTTCGCCCTGACCACATCCGCTCCTGCTTCGCCCTGACCACATCCGCTCCTGCTTCGCCCTGACCACATCCGCTCCTGCTTCGCCCTGACCACATCCGCGCCACCCGCCGTCACTTGCTACCTTTGCTTGCGCTCCACCCTGCACCTCCCACCTCACACTTCTGCCCCTCCTCTCTCATCCTCCGCATCCCTCCCACTCGCTCTCCTCCCCACGCCACGCATCTCGCAAGTCGCTGCAGTGGCCGGTGCTTTTCTGAGTGGTCATGGGGGTGGCAAGGGAGTCATGGGGGTGGCAAGGGAGTCATGGGGGTGGCAAGGGAGTCACTTGTGAAAATCTCAAAAAGTCATCCTACCCATCCCTCCCGCCCGCTCTCCTCCCGACCGCCAGCTGGCGTCACGCAAGTCGCTGCAGTGGCCGGTGCGCTTCCGGGTGGCCATGGGGGTGGCACGCGGCCTCGCCTTCCTGCACAGCGGGGCGGGCGGCGCGGGCGGCATGGGCGGCGGGCCGATGGCGCATGGGGCGGTGCACCCGGGGAACGTGCTGCTGGACGGCCGCATGGAGCCAAAACTTGCCGACATGGGCGTGGCTCGGATTGCATTTGATACGGATGATGTGCAAGTGGCCGATGAGATCATGGGGTACACGCCGCCCGGTATGTGGCGGATGGGATCATGCGTATGGGATCATGCGGATGGGATCATGCGGATGGGATCATGCGGATGGGATCATGCGGATGGGATCATGCGGATGGGATCATGCGGATGGGATCATGCGGATGGGATCATGGGACCCCCCTCTCCTCTCCAGTACTCAGCACTCCAGCTGATTGCACCTTTTGAGTCATGCTGTCAGGGGTCCTCACATGCCACCTCCCCGTGAACACAACATAGCATAGTGGAGTGATCGACCTCATCACAACTCCCTCCCCACGTTCTCCCTTGTCCCCTTGCCGCCGTGCTCCCTGCCCCCCCACCCATCCCCCAGGGTACTCAGCAGACCGCACCACCCCAACCCCAGAAGGCGACGTATGGAGCTTCGCTGTGGTCTATGAAAGTAGCAAATTGAACAAGTCATCAGATTAGAGGAACAACCTAGCATACATAGTTGGAAGGGAAGGTTGGAAGGGAAGGATGAAAGTGACCATAGGTTGGGTTGACCTCACTTGGGGAAGTGAGGGAACCATAGGTCAAGTGGGTTGGGTTGCCCACACTTTGTAGAAGTGAGGCAACCCTAGGCCCACTTGGCTTGGGGTAACCTCAATTGTGGGAAGTGAGGTACCCACAAGTCAAGAGGGTTGCATTTGGGGGCTCCACCACAATTGGGTGGATTGGCACCCCAAAGTGCAAGACTACACCCAAAGTTGGGTGTAGTCCCAACCCAACTGTACACCACAATTGGTGTACAGTCACATGTGTTGGCATGCTACACAATATATATTTTAACACAACCCCTTAGCATGCTAACACAAAAAGAGAACAACCCCTGAATCAAGGGGCGCCCGGGCGAGCAAGGCCAATGAGGCGGAGGAAGGCAGAGTGCGCGGGGCGAAGGAGGGCCTTAGTGAAGATGTCGGCCAAGTTGGCCTCGGTTGCAATCTTGCGAACGGCAATGAGGCCCTTCTGGACGAGCTCGCGAACGAAGAAGTAGCGGAGTTCGATGTGCTTGGAGCGGGCGTGATAGACGGGGTCCTGAGTGAGATGGATGGTGCTGGCGTTGTCGCACCAGAGAGTGGGGCACGTCTGGGGGGCGCCAAGCTCCGCAAGAAGGAAGCAGAGCCAGCGCGACTCATGGGCGGCCATGGTGCCAGCGTAGAGCTCGGCTTCGCAGGTGGAGAGAGAGATGGCGGAGGAGCGGGTGGAGCGCCAGCTGATGAGGCCGCTGCCAAGGGTGAAGCCGCAGCCCTGGGAGGAGCGGCGGTCCGGCTGCGTGTCAGCCCATGAGGAGTCACTGAAGCCCGAGAGAAGGGGACGGGAAGGGCCGCCGAGGGTGAGGGCAAGGTCCCTGGTCCCGCGAAGGTAGCGGAGGACCCGCTTGGCAGCTTTCCAGTGCTCCTCAGAGTGACGACCGGTGCCGACAAAGCGAGCGAGCACGCTGATGGGGTAGGCGAGGTCGGGGCGGGTGCACATCATTGCGTACATCAAGGACCCAACGAGCTCGGCATAGGGGTGGGGGGAGGAGGTGGGGGAGGTGGGTGGAGCGAGTTGGTGACCGAAGGGGAGCGGGGTGGAAACAGGCTTGGCTTGCGCCATGTCGAACTTCTCCAAGACCTGGCCGATGTAATGGGACTGGGAGAGGGTGATTGTGCGAGCAGGGCGGTTGCGCGTGATGGTCATGCCGAGGTAGTGAGTGAGGGCGCCAAGGTCCTTGCACTTGAGCCGCTGCTGCAGGGACAGCTTCACCTGCTCCATGTCGGCCTTGGTGTCAGAGAGCAGGATCATGTCGTCGACATATACCAGAATGAAGAAGCGGCGGGGGGAGGAGCGGATGAAGAGGCTGGCGTCGGAGTGGGAAGCAGAGAAGCCGAGGGACCCCAAGGTGGCAGCCAGCTTCGCATGCCACTCACGTGGTGCCTGCTTCAAGCCGTAGACAGGGCGACGCAGCTGCCAGACAGTGTTCTCAGGAAAGGCTGCGTGGAACCCGGGGGGTCGCCGGAGGAAAATGCGCTCATGCAGGTCGCCCTGCAGGAACGCATTGGAGACGTCCATGGAGTCGATTTCCATGTCGTCACGTGCACCAATGTCCATGGCGGCGCGAAGGGTGGGTGGTTTGGCGGTGGGGGCGTAGGTGAACCAGTAGTCCTCAGCCCAAGTCTGCGTGAACCCCTTGGCGCAGTAGCGGGCCTTGTACACTGGTTCCTCGCCCGGCAGCTGCTTCACCCGAAAGACCCATTTGCCGTCAACGAGATTAGCGCCAGCAGGGAGGGGGACATCGACAAAGGAGTCGTTGCGAATGAAGGCCTCACACTCCAGGAAGATCGCTGCTATCCATTTATCCGCATCAGGGCAGGTGATGGCTTCCTGGAAGGTGGAGGGAGTGAAGATGGTGGGGGTAGTAGTGGCGCCAAGGACAGGAAAGCCCAGGAAGTCAAGGTAGAGGGCGGCAAGGAATGGAGTGTGCTCCCGAATGTTGAGGAACTCCTCATGGGAGTCCTCAAGGAGCTGAATGGAGGCAGGAGGAGGAGCCCCAAGGATTTTGTCCACCGAGCGGGTATGGATGTAAGGGAGGAGGAAGGGGGAGGAGCGGGAAGTGGCACGGCGCCGCTGCTGCTGCTGGTGCTGCTGCTGCTGATGCTGCTGCTGCTGCTGCTGCTGTCCCGGCTGCTGCTGATGCGGCTGCCCCGGCTGCTGCTGCTGCTGCTGCCCCGGCTGCTGCTGCTGCTGCCCCTGCTGCCGTTGCTGGTGTTGCTCCCGCTGCTGCTGCTGCTGCTGCTGCTGCTGGTGCTGCTGCTGCCCCTGCTGTTGCTGATCCGGCTGCTGCTGCTGCTGCTGCCCCTGCTGTTGCTGATCCGGCTGCTGGAAAGGAGGAGAATGAGAGGAGGAGGGAGAGGGGGGAGGGGGTGCAGCTGAGTGAGCGGGGGAGGCGGGTGCGGCAGGGTCGTAGACGTCGGCAGAGGAGGAAGGCGGGAGTGGGGCGGCGACAGGTGGGAGGAGAGGCGCTAGAGGGATAAGAGGCGGGAGGATGGTGTCGGTCCAAGCGAGGGGGCGAGTGGGAGGAGGGAGGGGGTCAGGAGGAGGGGTGGAGTAGTAGGGAGTGGACTCGTCGAAGACGACGTCAATGCTGCGGATGAGGCGATTGGTGGGAGGGTGGAGGAATAGGTAGCCTGGGGAATCACGATTGTGCCCAAGGTAGACGCACTCCAGAGCGCGAGGAGCGGTCGGCCGGTGGAATGAGGACGAACGCCTTGCAGCCCCAAACACGAAGGCCTGCGGCGTCAGGCTTGGCCTTGGACCAGAGTTCTGTGGGGGAGGAGGAGGGATGCTGAGGGTGGGAGCGGAGATTGAGGAGGAGGGCGGCATGAATGAGGGCATAGCTCCAGAGGGAGGGAGGGGTGGAGGCGTGAGCAATGAGGCAGCGCGCAATCTTGGTGATCTCACGGATGCGACTCTCAGCGATGCCGTTTTGCTGAGGGGAGTGGGGAAGGGTGGTGGTCTGCTGAATGCCGTATGTTTTGCAGTAAGTGGAGAGAGTATGATTGATGAACTCACCCCCACCGTCAGAGTGAAGGCGGCCTATGGGACGTTTGAAGTGGTTGCGGCACTGCTCAGCCCAGTTGATGACCACAGCCGGCACCTGGTCTTTCGTGTGAAGAAAGAAGACGGTGGAGTACCGAATGTGGTCGTCGACGAGCACGAGCATGTACCTGTGCCCCTGACGGGAGCGGATGGGATAAGGGCCCCAGAGATCCATGTGAACAAGGTCAATGGGGGTGGGAGCGAAGGTGGGATGACTGTGATGGGGGGACTGTTTGAGCTTGCCATGAATGCATGATGGGCATGGGGGAGCAGGGGAGGAGGGGAGGGGAGGTAAGGTGGGAGGAAGGCTGTTAAGGAGGCGAGAGGTGACGGTGGAGCGAAGTGCGGCGAAGTTGGGATGGCCGAGTCTGTGATGTAGGAGCACTGCAGGATGGGAGAGGGCAGTAGAGGAGGAGGGGGATGGGGTGGGGGAAAAGTTGGGGGGGGAGGAGGAGGCGGATGGAGTAGAGGAGGAGGATATCGGAGGAGGGGGAGGGGGAGGGTGAGGGGGAGGGAGAAGGGGACCGGTGGAAGTACCAGCACGAGTGGTGACGTGACAAAAGGAGGGACGGGGTGCGCGGAGCGTGTAAAGGCGAGTGCGAGGGCAAAGGGGAATGCGCAGGAGGAAACGACCAGAGGCGGTGTGGTAGAGATCGCAGTAGGAAGCAAAGCCAGGGTATATGGCGGTAATGCCAACGCCTTGGAGTTCACGGTGGGAGAGGAGGTTATTGCGAAGGGTAGGGATGTGGAGACCGGTGACTGTACCGGATGGGAAGGCGGTGCAAGGAAGGGTGGAGAGGTGAGTGCAGGGGATGGAAAAGCTGGAGTCGGCACCATGAACCTGGGTGGGAAGTGGAAGGGGGGTGAGGGTGCCAGCGTCTTTTAGTGCGGTTTCGGTGGCCCCACTGTCAAGGACAAAGTCCAGGGTGGGGGGGGAAGGAGAGGGAGGGAACACAGAGTACTGGAGAGTTGTTTCATGGATAGAAGAGGGAGAGAGCGGCGGGTGCTGCTGCTGTAAGTACTGTTGCTGCTGCGGCTGCTGCGGTGGGAGAGACTGTGACGGTTGCGGCTGGAGAGATTGGGCTGCTGCTGCTGCTGGAAGCACCGCCGATGCTGCCGCGGTTGCTGCGGCTGGAGAGATTGTGGTGGCTGCTGCTGCTGGAAGCACTGCTGCTGCTGCGGATGGAGAGAACTGTGGCTGGTGCTGCTGCTGGAAGCACTGCTGCTGCTGCGGCTGAAGAAACTGTGGCTGCCGCTGCTGCTGGAAGGACTTCTGCTGCTGCGGCGGAAGGAACTGTGGCAGCTGCTGCTGCTGGAAGCACTGCTGCTGCTACGGCTGAAGAGACTGTGGCTGCTGCTGCTGCAGGAAGGACTGCTGCTGCTGCGGTGGAAGGAACTGTGGCAGCTGCTGCTGGAAGGACTGCCGCTGCTGCGGCTGGAAGGACTGCTGCTGCTGGGGATGGAGAAACTGTGGCGGGTGAGGCTGGAGAGATTGCGGCTGCTGTTGGTGTTGGAAGAACTGCTGCTGCTGCGATTGCCGCGGCTGGAGGAGATGTGGGGGGTGCGGCTGGAGAAATTGTGGTTGCTGCCGCTGCTGGAAGTCCTGCTGCTGCTGATGCTGGAGCTGCTGGAAACGCCGCAGATGGGGAGGGGGGGAGGGGGTGAGCAGGCGGAGATAAGGGGGGGGGGAGGAGTGGAGGGTCGGAGTGTTGAGAAGGGAGGGGCGAGGAGTAACACTGCTCCAGTGAGGAGGGGGGAGAGGGGCAGGGGGGGTAGCAGTCATGATGGGCGACGGCGGGTGGACCCGCGGCGGCCAAGGGTGAAGTTGCTGCTGCGGAGGCTGCTGCACTTCCCCTGCTGCCGCTGCTGCTGCCGCTGGCAGGAGGAGGGAGGGGGGGGGGGGGGGGGGGTAAAGGAGGGAGACAGCGGTGGAGGGCAGAGGCGTTCAAGGTGCAGGGAGCGACGGTGACAAGGGCGCAGGCGGCTGTGCGAACGTGCGGCGGCGGGAAGGGGAGGCGGTGGCAAAGTCGGGGGCGGCGGCGGCGAGCAGGCCGCGACGACGAGGGGCGCAGGCGACGGCGGAAGGGCCGCGGTGGCGAAACGAGGGACGGCGGCGGCAGGCAGGCCGCGGCAACGAGGGGCGCAGGGGGAGGGGGAGGGGGGGGGAGAGGAGTAGGGAGAGGAGGAAGGGAGGGTGCAGTTGCGGCTGAATCTGCAGGCGGCGACGGGGCAGTCACGGCGGCAGGAAGTGTGGGCGGGGATGGCGCGGTCGCGGTGGAGGATGGGCAGACGGCGCCGAAGCAGTCGCGGCGGTAGGGCGGCGGCGGCGCAGTGACGTTAACGGGAACCGCGGGGCGACGATGTTGCAGTTGCGGCGGGGGAAATTGCGGGAGGGTGGCGATGCAGAAGGGGCAGCGAGATGCGTGGGTGACGCGGAAGCAGGTGCGGCGGTGGGAGGGGAGGCGGCAATGCGAAATCGCGGCGGGGGGGTGGGGGCGGGGAGGTGACGACGAGCAGTCGCGGCGGCGGAATGCGCAGGCGGCGATGTTAGGTCGCGGCGGCGGGACGGGCAGGGGGCGACGAGCTGTCGCGGCGGCGGGACGGGCAGACGGCGCCGAAGCAGGCGCGGCGGCGGGAAGGGGAGGCGGCGACGTGACATCGCGGCGGAGGGACGGGCAGGCGGCGACGAGGCGTCGCGGCGGCGGGATGCGCAGGCGGCGCCGAAGCAGGCGCGGCGGCGGGAACGCGGCGACGAGACGTCGCGGCGGAGGGACGGGCAGGCGGCGACGAGGTGTCGCGGCGGCAGGATGCGCAGGCGGCGCCGTAGCAGGCGCGGCGGCGGGAACGCGGCGACGAGACGTCGCGGCGGAGGGACGGGCAGGCGGCGACGAGGCGTCGCGGCGGCAGGATGCGCAGGCGGCGACGAGGCGTCGCGGCGGCAGGATGCGCAGGCGGCGCCGAAGCAGGCGCGGCGCGGGGAACGCGGCGACGAGACGTCGCGGCGGAGGGACGGGCAGGCGGCGACGAGGCGTCGCGGCGGCAGGATGCGCAGGCGGCGCCGTAGCAGGCGCGGCGGCGGGAACGCGGCGACGTGACGTCGCGGCGGAGGGACGGGCAGCGGGCAGGCGGCGACGAGGCGTCGCGGCGGCAGGATGCGCAGGCGGCGCCGAATCAGGCGCGGCGGCGAGAAGGGGAGGCGGCGACAGGGGGTCGCGGCGGGGGGGAGGAGGGGACAGCGGCGTTGCGCTCGCGGCGGTGGAATCCGCAGGCGAGGAAGGCGTAATCGCGGCGGGAGGGGGGGGGGAACGGCGGCGACGGCGTAGGTCGCGGCGAGAGTATGCTAGTGATGGCTAGTTGGGCCACGCGTAGGAAAGGGTTTGTAGCTGTGGGGTGGGCCCATGGGAAAAAAAAAAAACTGAAGGGAGGGAGAGGTAAGGCCTAGGAACAAGTAGCTCTATACCATGTGAAAGTAGCAAATTGAACAAGTCATCAGATTAGAGGAACAACCTAGCATACATAGTTGGAAGGGAAGGTTGGAAGGGAAGGATGAAAGTGACCATAGGTTGGGTTGACCTCACTTGGGGAAGTGAGGGAACCATAGGTCAAGTGGGTTGGGTTGCCCACACTTTGTAGAAGTGAGGCAACCCTAGGCCCACTTGGCTTGGGGTAACCTCAATTGTGGGAAGTGAGGTACCCACAAGTCAAGAGGGTTGCATTTGGGGGCTCCACCACAATTGGGTGGATTGGCACCCCAAAGTGCAAGACTACACCCAAAGTTGGGTGTAGTCCCAACCCAACTGTACACCACAATTGGTGTACAGTCACATGTGTTGGCATGCTACACAATATATATTTTAACATGGTCCTCCTCCAGCTGCTCACCGCTCGCCGTCCACTGGACCCGGCATTCACTGACAACAGCACAGGGGACCTCGTCGCATCTCCCTAACCCCTCCCCTATGTCCTCGCGCCCTCGCCTCTTGGCCCCTGACCCCGCTACCCCCCTCTGTCCCCTCTTCCTTCCCCTCCCGCCCATCCCCCAGAATACTCCGCCGGCCCCACCCCCCCAACCCCAGCCGGCGACGTCTACAGCTTCGGCGCCGTGCTCCTCGAACTCCTCGCCGCCCACCCACCCATGCCCCCCTGTTTCCCCCTTTCCCCCTCCCCGCTCCTCCCATCCCCCAGAATATTCAGCCGGCCCCACCCCCCCAACGCCTGCCGGCGACGTGTACAGCTTCGGCGTGGTCCTGCTCGAACTCCTCACAGCGCGCCCGCCAGTGGACCCGGCCTTCACAGACAACGGCACGGGCGACCTCATAGGGTGGGTGCGGGCGACCATACAGGCGGGGCAGCCGGGGGAGGCGCTGGATCCGCGCATGGCGGACGCGGCGGAGAGTGGCGACGAGATGCTGCAGTTCCGCAAGGTGGCGCTGGTGTGTGTGGCAGAGGATGGGGATGAGCGGCCGATGATGAGGGAGGTGGTGGAGATGATGGTCAGGGCGAGGGAGACCGCGGCGAAGATCCGAGAGAACCCTCAGATCAGGGACTTGCTGGAGTGAGAGGGAGTTGTTGTGGAAGAGAGGGGTGGGTGCATGCGCTGCAGCGGTCTTGCAGTGCAGCAGGGAGCACTGGGGGGAGGTGGTTGACATGGTGCGGGAGAGGGAACTGCGATTAAGGCCCGCGAGAAGGAGTGAAGGGAGGGTTGGAGTGATGTGAATGTTGTGGGTTTATGCAGTGCAGTGGAAGGAGCAGAACCGCAACGGATGAGGATATGATTTTGTGTTGCATGTTGCTCTGCAGCACTGCTTTTGTTGTGGTTCTGCTATGCTTAGGAAGGAGTCTTAGCAGAGGGAGCACAGCCATGAAACTTCATACTGTCATCGCCCGGATATAAGACATATATGTCTTATCTTATACACTAGAAAAAATGCTTGGGTTGTCTTGTAATTTGGGTGGTTTAGGGTGTCTTATAATTCTTATAAATGGACAAAGAACCGTTTAGAAGATAACCCTTCGTCATGAGATTACCCCTAACCCCTACACTGGCTTAACTCGTACACACCGACAGGTGTTTTATAATCAGGAACACCCATTTATAAGATACACCCGTTTTAAAGACACCCCGTCTTCAATTCGACACTGTCTTATATCCGGGCGATGACGGTACCATAGATTAAAGCGTTGTAGTCCACGGACCACACCATACAGCAGATGGACTCTGAAGCTCAGATACCGTACACTGGGAGAATTGTAGTTACACCTCAGTTTGCAAAACGTATCAAGCAAACTTCTCAAAGAACTTGCCAGCTTTACACCAATGGGGGATCGATAGAGAGCTACTACGGTATGGTGGCACACACGGCTGCTGACCAGTGCTGCTGCTGATCAGCACCCAACAGTTGTGGGCAAATTCCCTTCCTACAATACTCTACCCTACTTGGCCCCAATGTCCCAAAGGAAATACCCCACTGCAAGCTTTTGTGGGCAATACAGGTACCGAGGCCCGAGGGGCATGCATGTGCTGGAAAATCAAGGAACATGCGAGCCCGGTCTGAGTCCTCTCTGTAGTGTGCACTGATGTGAAGTGACTTCTGTATACACATTGGGTGCATCAGTGGCTTTAAGCTGTCAGCGGAGAGAGTTGTCGGTGCAGCCTGCTGTGCGGGGAGAGAGGGGAGGAGTGGAGGAGAAAGGGGGGTTGGGCGAGGAGAAGAAGGGAAAAAAAAGAGGTGAGGGAGAGAAGGGGGAGTAGCGGAGGTCAAGGGAAGAGCAGAAGCACATGCAGAGTCTGGGAGATTGCAGGGCAGCAACAAGCAGGGAGGCAGAGATTGTGGCGGGAGCAGGCAGAGAGAATATACGATTGTGGCGGGAGCAGGCAGAGAGAATATACGATTGTGGCGGGAGCAGGCAGAGAGAATATACGATTGTGGCGGGAGCAGGCAGAGAGAATATACGATTGTGGCGGGAGCAGGCAGAGAGAATATACGTGGCACGATAGCAGCTGGTGCAAGGTGAGAGCACTGTCAGAACATACGAGTGGGGAGGAGGAAAGTGAGAGTGTATTAGTGGGGAGGATGGCCGCAGGGGAGTGGTAGGTGAGGGACAGCAGCACCACAACAAGAGAGACGCGAGGCAGAGAGAGTGCAGGGAGCAGGCAGAGAGACTGTAATTGGCACATTAGCAGCTAAGAGCGTACGAGTGGGGAGGATCGGTGCGGGGGAGTGGTGGGTGAGCCCCAGCAGCACCACCGCCTCCTCCACTAGTGGGTGCTTTGTCGCCCGGAACACCTGCAGCACTCGCTCTGTCAGTGCTCCTCTCTGAAGTGTGCGCTGACGGGGGAGGAGAAGGTGGGGAAGAAGACGGGCGTGGGAGAGTGATCAGTACATCTCAGCGGCACCACTGCCTCATTCCCTGTGTGCAGGGTGCGCTGTTGGGGGAGGAGGAGAGGTGGGAGAGAGGGGTGAGAGAGAGGAAGGGAAGAGAGAAAAAGGTGACTTTTGAGTCGACTCACAAGCTGCCGGAACAATCCCAGCACTCCCAACACTCTGTGAGTGCTCCTCTCTGAAGGGTGCGCTGATCTGTGAAGGCGGGGGGAAGAAAGGGCAAGAAGAGGTAACTTTCGAGTGAGCTCACAAGCTGCCTGTAACACTCCCAGCAGTCGCTTTGTCAGTGCGCCCTTCTGGAGCGTGCGTTGACTGGGGGGAAGGGGGGAACGGAGGGACAGCGTGTGGCAGGAGGTGGGAGAGTGGGTGAGAAATGGGGAAAAGGAAGGCGGATGGAAACTGGTGTAAGAAAGAATTGGAGAGGGAGAAAGGCAGGAAGAGACGGGTGGAGGTGTGGTGGATTCGCGCGTGCTGCAGGGAAGAGCACCCACCCACCCAGCAACGCCAGGCGCCACCTACAGCAACAGCACCCAAACCTGAATAGCAACAGCGCCTTACCCACAGCAGCAGCACTCACCCACAGCAGCACCCGCACTCACCCACAGCAGCAGCAGCACGATGTCTTCAGGAAGGCCCTGGAGCGACGAGACGTGGTGGATGTTTGCCACTATCGAATCAGTGCATAACGAGAACAGCCTGGGCGGGGAGGAGCAGGCGGAGGAGGCAGAGGAGGAGGAGGAGGATAACGACGATAGCGCGGATGGTGCTGGTCGGACTGCCTCAGACCCCATGTGCCCCGCTCGTGCTGACTCTCGTGCCACGGCTGCTGATGGGGGCATAGGCTCACCGCCTGCTGCTGTTGATGGCCCTCCTAGGCTCACCACTCGATCTTCGATTGAGTCACCTCTGCTTAGAATCACACTGAACCCGCCGTTTCTCGTCCCCAGCCCTCCCCCCCACCTTCCCCATTCTGCTCCTCTCACCGAGTTCCCGCCCCCCCTCCCCCTCCCCCTCTCCCCCACCCTCCCCCTCTCTTCCGCCCTCCCCCGCGCTCCCCCTTCTCTCTCACACGGCAGCATAGCCTCCTCAACCAGCGATCCCCACGGCGTCACTATCGCTCGCTTCGCGCTGCTCCCCCGCCCCCTCGCGTCACCTCCGCTTCCGCCACTACCAGCGCTGTGGTTTCCGCCCCGCCTTGCGCTCATCCTGCTCTCGCCATCGCCATCGTCCGGTGCCCCCGCCGGCGCATCCCCGCCGCTGATGCTGCTGTGGCTGCTGCTGCTGCTGCTGCCGCCGCCGTTACCTGCAGGGGCGGCGGCGCTACCCGCCGCTCCGCGCATCAGCGACGGCTGCGCGCGGCGGTACTCCTCGTCACCGCGCTCGTTGCGCTCTGCCGCTGTAGCGCTTTCATTCCGCTCTTTGGAAAAATCGGCATCCAGCGATGCAATCTCTCGCGTCTGACGAGCCAACGACAACTCTGACGCTGACGTTAACGTTGACGTTGACGTGGATGCTGACGCAAAAGTTGTCAAACCGTCCGGTTCTTTCTCCAGGCGCAAATCTACACCCGCCGCGCCAGCCCCCGACCCCACGTCATCCCCTTCCCCACTATCCGCCGCGCCCGCCCTGCCTCGCCCCTTTCCCTCCGCTAACCCCACACCCGCCCGCACATCTCTCTCCGCCGCAACGGCCTCCGCCCGCTCGCTGAGCGATTCTGTCGCTAGGGGGACGTCGGCAGCCGGTGCTGGGTCAACCAAACGAGGAGCCATTAGGTCGCGGAGTTATGAAACCGGTACGCGATTGAAATCTGACCCCTATTTTATCGTGCCACCGAGGTTTGTAATCCACAATGACCCTTATGAACTATGTCTGAGTTTAGTGGTCAGGAAGTGGTACATTGTCAAACCAACTCGATAGCCGCTGTGCACCGTTTGAAATCAAGCTTTACCGTTTTTTACCATGACGAAACAAAATTAACCGTACAAAACGAACCAAGGGACAAACGCGCTGACCTCGGCATTAGCCTGTCACCGCATTGAACCAGCTTGCAACGTACAGCTTTTCGTTCATGACACCATAATGTGCAGTGGAGTTGGTTTTTCGACGTAACACTCAACCGCTGATCACCAGGCTCAACGTACAACCGCACCTAACAGCGGACTATCACAACCAAACTTAGTTTTGGGAGTGCTTCGTTCACGATTGGCTGTAGTAGGCAAGGGAACAATTGCCGCATGGCGGACGAGCAGACATTGCGCGGCACGACGGCGATTGCAGTTTGTTGAAGCGCTATACGCTCGCGAAAAGCACGCTCTGCGATAGTGGTCCGCGAGGCGCCTCGAAGCGCAAAGCTCGCAGCTCCCCAACCGTCAATTGCGTCATTCCCTCACGCTCTCTCAAATGGATTCGTCTGGCGGCGGCGGCGGCGGCGGCGGCGATCACGCCGCCATGCGATCCGTCAAGACGAAACGAGTCGTCGCAAATGGCCCGTCGCACGCTCCGTCGTCGCGCATCGGCGGCGGAGCGTCGTCGCCGCGAGGCGATCGCCAGGCGACTCTCTGGAGCTGCATAGATTGCTGCGGCTCACGGGAACCCGGCTCCCCCCGTTATAAGCGCCCTCGCGCAGTCACATTGACGTTAGCACTACTATTCGCGCTTCTTCTATCCGCCTTCGTTCTTCTGATCATACGATGGCCGTTGGAAGAGAGCTTTTTACACTCTTATCTCGGAACCGGGAGGGCTGCTCCAGTTGAGTGCATCCCGAATGCAGCCCAGGGGTTCAGCGGCGAGGGCGTATTCGCGAAGCGAGAAAAGAAACAACAGAAAAAGCGGCCGAATCAAGCGCAGCAGCAAGAACAACAGGAGGAGGAGGAGGAGAAGTTATCGAGTAACCACGTGCAGCTGTTCGATCAGGAGGAGCAGGAGGGCGGCGGAACGGAGCAAGAGAGCGGCGCAGCAGCCACGCGGCCATTCGTATACGTGTATGACTGGGAAAGCAGCTGACGTCCAAAGTGCTGAAGCTGGAGCTGGAGTGGTACTCGGAGCAGTACGATTTAGAGAAGCACTTAACGGAGATGCTTATGAGGCGTACAGACAACCCCGTGCGCACCATGGACCCCGAGCAGGCGTCGCTGTTCTTCGTGCCCTTCTACGTGTCGCGCTACCTCTTCTCCTTCTTCCATAATGACAAGAAGAACATGCGGCAGTGCATCGAGAAGAGCTCACGGGTGGGTGTTTTCTGAGTCTAGACTCAGATGTTCTTCGTGCCCTTCTACGTGTCGCGCTACCTCTTCTCCTCCTTCCATAACAACAAGAAGAACATGCGGCAATGCATCGAGAAGAGCTCACGGGTGGGTTGAGTGAGGTGCATTTGGTAGTAAGGCAAGCAGCCCTACACTCGTGCCCTTCTACGTGTCGCACTACCTCTTCTCCTTCCACAACGATTGGACGAACATGCGCCAATGCATCGAGAAGAGCTCACGGGTGGGTGGTGATGAGGCGCGATAATTATCGCTAGTACGGCGGGCAGACAGAGAAAGAGAGAGCCGTATGCTTGTGTACAAAGAGATCCTTTATTTTTTGTTATCAAAGAAGCATCATCATGCGTATCACACACGCGTGTGCAGGTGCGTGCATCAGCAGCTCGTGGTGATTTTGTTTGTCAGTGTCGTGGGAACAGCAGCAATGCTTAGTACTTTTCAGGCGAGAGCCGATCGATTCTTCAGTCAACTCAAAAAACAAGCACGCACAGACAGAGTGCGTGAATCATTGGACGGGTTGTTTGTGAACGAGGCGGGAGGGAGCAGAGAGCGCTGATTGCCTGTTGGCCATGGAAGGTATTCTTGCATTGCCACACATCCGCGGCTCTACTCTGTCCGGTGACAAAGTTTGTTCCGAATACAGATCTTGCGATTTTGGCAAGGCTTGCCAGCCACCCACACCCCGGCCATACCTGCACCTTCCCCACCCACTCACCCTCTCACTGCCTTCCTTCCCGTTCTCGCTCCCTCCCACTCCTCGTTTCTCTTCCTTGCCCGACCTTGCTCGTCCCACCCAACCCCATTCCCCACCCTCTTGGACCCACCAGGCATGGACGAAAGTCCTGAAAGCCGTCCACACCACCTTCCCCTACTTCAACCGCACCAACGGCCGAGATCACTTTGGCATCCTGACGCTCGATCATGTTATAGTCACAATAGGCTTGAATGTGCCTAAAACGAAAGATAGAATACACAGCCGGATTTCTGCACAGCGGCTTCAAACGTTGATAGCGTTCTTCTCACAGCTGCAAATGACTTGCTTTAAATTGGATCTGGAGCGTCTTTAGGTCGCCTACACGAGGCAAGTTGAATCACACGATTTCATCAAGAATTGACGACGCAACGTCGGTTTGAATAATTAAACAGGAAAAGTGAATGAACTAGGAAAGTGTGAGATACAAATATGAAAGCTGTACCCCTTAGTGTCTACCCCACTACAGCCTACATAGGCTAAGGCATATATATCTGACACACCCCCATAGGCAAAGTGGGGGAGAACTAGAGGTCACAAGACCAGTCAAGCAAAGCAAAGCAAAGCAACTCAGGGTGGATCACAACGTCACCACACAGTCTGAGCACAGGTTCAAAGGCCACAAGGCCAGTTCACATGCAAGTTCATAGATAAAGGTAAACAAGCAAGTGCAGGTATATATAGATCACAGTACAAGCAAAGTCAAGAGGTAAGCAAGTGAGGCCAAGTAGGCACAAGACCTAGCATAGTACAGAAGCGCTGATGATCACAAGGCTGAAGTGCCTTGGTAAAGATATCAGCAGTGTTGGCCTGAGAGGCCACGTAAGCAAGACGCAGCTGGCCACGCTGCTGCAGCTCACGAGCAAGGAAGTAGCGAAGAGCAATGTGCTTCGTTCTGTGCTCCAGTCTGTGCTCCCGACACAAGGCCAGCATGGCCTTGTTGTCTACGTACAGAACTGGAGGAGAACGAGGCGGCTCTCCCAGGTCAGTCAGCAAGTAGGTGAGCCAGCGTAACTCCTGTGCAGCCATGGCCCCTGCGTAGATCTCAGCCTCACAGCTGGAGCTGAGAACAGAAGACGAGCGGGTAGACCGCCACGAAACAGAGCCGGAACCAAGGCTGAAGGTGTAACCCTGTGACGACCGCTGTGTAGCCAGGTCGTCCACCCAAGACGCGTCTGCGTGACCAGTGAGGACCACTGGACTCCGCCCTCCAAGCACTAGCCCCAAGCCCGAAGTACTGCACAAGTAGCGCAACACCCTCTTCGCTGCAGCCATGTGCTCTGGTCGGTGTCTCCCAGGAGCAACATAGCGTGCCAGAATGCTCAGAGGGTATGCTAGGTCAGGTCGAGTGCAGGTCATCAGGTACATGAGGCAGCCAACAAGCTCTAGGTACGGGCCACTCGGCTATACGGACTCATCCGAAGGCTGAGCTGAGAGCGAGTGGCGAGTAGACAGAGGAGTGGCCTGAGGCGAGGAGTACGTGAAGTCGAAGCGCTGAAGGACCTGCTGCACCATGTGTGACTGAGTCAGGGTGATGGTGCGCCGTGCTCTGTCCCGGGTGATCTGCAAGCCAAGATAGCTGCGCAGTTCACCCAGGTCTGTGCACGTGTGTCTCTTCTGCAGCTCGGACTTCACGTGGGCGAGTCCAGCAGTGTCAGCTGTAGCAAACACCAAGTCGTCGACGTACACGAGGATGTAGAACGGCGGCAGTAAAGTGTCGGTGCGAAGAAACAGCGACGGGTCAGCAGTGGAAGGAGCAAACCCAAGAGCCGCAAGCGTAGTCCTCAGTGTGTCGTGCCACTCACGTGGCGCCTGGCGGAGACCGTAGACTGGCCGACGGAGGCTCCACTGGGTACCAGGAGGAAACGACCCACTGAAGCCAGGTGGGCGGCGCAGCCAGATCTCCTCGTGCAGACTGCCCTGTAGGAAAGCAGTGCTGAAGTCAAGGGAGTGAAGCTCGTAGTCACGCTGAGCAGCAACGTGCAGCAGAACCCGAAGAGTGGTCATCTTCGGGATCGGGGAGAAGGTCTGAAAGTAGTCAACTCCCTGCCGCTGACTGAAGCCTCGAGCCACGTAACGCGCCTTGAAGACAGGCGGAGAACCCGGCGGCCGCTTCACCCTGAAAATCCACATGCCACTGACGATGTTCGCCCCAGGTGGGGGAACCTCGTCGACGTAGGTGTCTGTGGACTTCCAGGAAGCCATCTCTGCGTCTATGGCTGCCTGCCACTGAGAGGAGTAAGGACCCTCTATCGCCTCTGCGTAAGAGCGCGGGGTCGGGATGTCTGGTGCATCTGGGTCTCCCTCAGGGGCAAGCAGCGTGGACACGAGATGAGGTAAAGCAGCAGCAAAACACTGGAACTCCTCCTGTCGGTCCTCAAGGACGTCCGTGCTAAGAGCTCACTCACCCCCGACGGACGGAGGACAGACAGACGCAGACTCAGCAACAAGACTAGTGGCGTAGTCTAGACGACAGTGAGCAGCGAAGTCGACAAGCTCGGTAACGAAGGCAGACGCAGCAGTGGACTCAAAGGAAGGGTCAGTGACAACAGTGGCTAGGAAACGCGTGACAGTAGGACTGGCAGCACGAAGGGAGTCAGACGCCGGGTCAGCAAGGGCAGGAAGAGAGGACTCTGGAGGAGACGGCAAAGGGACACGCTGTGACGCAGTGGAAGGACGCAGTGCCATCGGATGCGTGCCTGGGACTGCAGGAGGACGCAGACGTGGAGCACGACGACCAGTGCGAGCAGTACGAACA